AATTTTTGTAATTTTTATTTTTTTTTAATTTTAAAAAGGCGGTTTTTTGTAAATAAAAACATAGAAAGGATATGTTTTTTGTAAAAATTTGTGTAACAAACGTGATAATAACAGGATTAGTCAGCCTTGAAAAAAGTATCTTTTATGATTTTTAAAAATGTGTTTTTTGTTTTTGAAATTTAAAAAATTTAAGAAAAATTCTTTTAAATTCATTAGAATTTTGTTAAAAAAACCATTTTATAGTGAATTAGTAGTGCATGTTCTTTGGAATTGTTGATTATAACCAGAGTTCTCATGGGCTCCGGAGCCGGCTGCGACTTCGGATCCGGAGCTAAAATTTTTAAAAAAACTGAGTCAGCGCTGAAGCCGGAGCCAAAAATTGTCAGTTTCAGTGCAAAAGACCCCTGGAACCGGAGCTAAAATTTAAAAAAAAAAGGCGAAGCCGGAGCTGGAAATTTAGGAACTCTGGTTTTAACGATATTTTATTTTACTAGTGTTTACTATAACCACATTCTAGGCCGAAGTCAGCCCTGTTTTATAAGTTTAAAAAGTATAATATTACAGTGAAAGCTCTGTATAAAAAAAGCTTGAAGATTCAAAATTTTTTTGTTAACAATAATTTTTGGAGTATAGGGGTTTTAATGCACTGCGTAGTGTTGATTAGAGACTCGAAAGGTGTTTGTTATACAGGATCCTATCTATTTCAAATTCTGTAGTATTTTTTAAAAATGAGCTTTTTGGCCATTATGGCATTTTTTAAGTAAAAAGTTGGTTTCTTTTTTTCAAATTTTAAAATAATTGACTTCAAATTGATTCAACATTTTCTAGAATCTTCACGTTCTCTTTTTAATAGTATGCATTAATATAAAATCTTTCGTTTCGTGCGTTTCACAACCATAAAACAATCTGTTTATATTTCCAGGAAACGTCTCTTTCTCTGCCATTTCTCACTGTTCTTCTCTCTTTTTTATGGGTCTCAAAGGTCCGCCTTCTCACACTGGAGGCTTCTATTTAACTCTGTGTCTTTATATAAAGTATGCAGCTTTGCTGGGGTTCTACTCTAGTTTTTGGTCTCTACTTTCTGCTGTTTGCACACAAATTTATAAATGTACAAGGAGTCTAGAAGATTTTAAGATTTTTAATACTGTAGGTTTTTGGTTTTTACTGTACTTTTGGGCTTACAAAATAAACAAAGACGTCTTAAATGCTTGTATTTTTTGTATGAGTTATATGTATATACGTTAGTACTTTCGTAGTATCTATATCCAAGAATTTTCAAATAAGTTTAGTACTTCAAAATTCTCTTAAAAATAGCCTTTTTTACCACCTCCGCTGACCCCTACTCCCCCCTTTCCATACATACATAACACGCATGTTGTTATTGTCCCCCTACAAGAACTGTTTATAACCCCGGCCTCACTTCTTTCCAAATAGTATTATAACTGGGGCTCTACTCTCTCTATAACCATTTTTTATCTCCCTGCCCTGCCCTGCCCTGCCCTGCCCTGCCCTGCCCTGCCCTGCCCTGCCCTGCCCTGCCCTGCCCTGCCCTGCCCTGCCCTGCCCTGCCCTGCCCTGCCCTGCCCTGCCCTGCCTTGCCCTGCCCTGCCTTGCCTTGCCCTGCCCTGCCCTGCCCTGCCCTGCCCTGCCCTGCCCTGCCCTTGCTTTGCTTTGCTTTGCTTTGCTTTGCTTTTGCCATGCCTTTGCCCTGCCTTTGCCTTGCCTTTGCCCTGCCTTTGCCCTGCCTTTGCCCTGCCTTTGCCCTGCCTTTGCCCTGCCTTTGCCCTGCCTTTGCCCTGCCTTTGCCCTGCCTTTGCCCTGCCTTTGCCCTGCCTTTGCCCTGCCTTTGCCCTGCCTTGCCCTGCCTTTTCCCTGCCTTTCCCATGCCTTGTCTTGCTCTGTCCGGCCCTGCCCTGCCTTTGCCTTGTCCTAACCCACCTTTAACTATCATCTCTACTCTACCTTTTCTATTCTGCCCTATTTAGCCATTTTTTACCATGCCTCACCTTAACCTGCTCTACCTTGGCTCAGCTTACTCTGCCTTTGTCCACCCTATCCTACCCTGCTTTAACTTACGTTTTCTTGCTCTATCTTTTTCTAACCTACCTTACCTTATTAACTTCATCGCTCTACCCTAACGGTTTATATTTTGCTACCCCCCCCCTTTTTTCAAAATTCTCAAAACACCCCATTTCCCTCTCCTTCTCCCCTCTTTCTGCTGACATCACTCACCCCTACTCTTTTCAAAATTTATCCCATTTCCCAACATCCCCTCCTTTTCGAGGGGTGTTTCTACTGTCGAGGGGTGCTTCATGTCCCCTTTGGGGACAAATCGAGTATAAAAGTGCGGCCAAACTCCGCGGAATGTTTTTTCGTGCCAAAAAACAGAAAAATAGGAACACGTGCTTCGAGGGAAAAACAAATTGGAAAGGACGGTTATATACTGTATGATATGTGGTAGGCCTGGGGGGAGAGGGTATTATACGTGGTAGGCCTGAGGAGTCTGGGAGAGTGCTTTTCTAGAAATATAAATAGTGTAAGTTAGTTTACCAGTAACTGAAGAATAAGATAAGAAAAGAGAGAATGAAATTACCGGTAATTCAAGTGTAGGTTGAGGAGGAGGGAGAGGAAGGGCTGGGGTTACTGGTAACTTAAGGGCAGGGGGAAGAGGGGGGGGGGGAGATGCAATTAATAGTAACGAAGAAAGAAAATGGTAGGGCAGGGTAGATTAAATTGAATGTTTGTTGTTGTTTTTACTGTTTATAGTACTTTCTTTAATTTTTCGCGGAATCAATCGTGTTTACAGTACATGACATGTTATTTTTGGGTTATTTCAATCATTTCGAATTCTATTTTTTGTAGGTTCTTTTGAAAATTATAGCAAATATTAATAATATCTATGATTTCTAAAGCTGAAAGAAACAGAAAAAAATGATTTACAGTATTTTTAGCTTATCATGGATAATTTAACTTTTTCTTGGTGTACTCTACTCTATTTGACTTTTTACCCTAGCCTTATCTTATTTTTATCCTAGACTGGGTTATAAGAAAAGGAGAAGCTAAACGTACCCGATCTGTCCCGCTCTAATTAACTTCAAACTTTTGATATAGAAAGTAAATATAGAAAGATCATGTAAATATAAGATCTTCAGCAATGTACTAAATTGCGCTTTCCAGTCAACCTCGACAAAATCAAGATTAAAAATTTACGTTTTGAATTTCCCGCTAAACTGGCATTGTGTTTCAAACTTATAACTTTGGCATTTTTTGGCTTTTAATCATTTTTCTTTAATATACTAATCCTTTGAATGAACCTACATTTTTTTTAATTTGTAAGCGTATTTTGCTTGGAAAGTCGAAAAAAGTGCTTGAAACACAATGCCAAATTTATCAAGTTGGCAAGGAATTCAAATGTTTCAATTTTAAAACTCAAAAGCGCAAGGTAAAAATTTTTAGTTTATGGGTACTGCTAGTGTTACAAAGAGTTAATATATAAATTTTGGGATGATTTTGAGCGTGGCAGGCTTGGTTACTTTTCTTGATAGCTTTATTCCACGGCTACCATAACTCTAATCCATGCCCTACTTTAGTTTTAATACTATACTCTTACCCCTTTACCTTAACTTTTCTTACTTCTACTCTATCCTACTCTACCCTATTCTACTTCACACTAATTTACGTTGTACCCTACTGTCTATCCTAAGCTTTTCTTACCCTACTATAGACTTATTTAGCTCTATTACAAGCCCTGTTTTAGCTTTAACCTAGTCTTTTCATAGTTTCTATCTGGCCCTGTCCTTATACTAACTCTACTATAACCTACTATCATATTACTCACGGAGAACATCACCTTTCCTACAGTACTACTTTTAGTTCAAAATTTCGAAAAAAAACCTTGTTTTTCGATTAAAAAATTACTTTTTACACCATTTTAATCAAACTTTCAAAAGCTACAAACATCAAAACATCGAAAAGCAGTGTGAAGTTTGTCAGCTCTTTAAAGGTTGTTAAGACTAATTTGTTACCTAATTTTTTGCGTAAAATCACACCATTTTTTGCGTTACCTTGATCGAGAAGGAATCAACGATTATCAATTTCTTTGTTATTTCAATTCTTGTTTTTCTGACTCATACTGTAGATTGGGTGACAATGTGGTTTGTATATAAGAAGGGGACCGGAAAACGGGAAATGGTTTTGTATAGTTAAGAAGAGAGGGGTAAGGGAGTTGTTGTATATATTTTTTATTTTGAAGGCTATGGTAGAGCAAGATATAAAAAGAAAGGTTAATTGTTGTGCAATGAGACTTGGGCAGGGTTAATATAGTAGCTTAGGGGTATAATAGGGCTTTAGTAAAGCTAGGTTTAGACTAATTGTAAGGTAGGGTAAGGCAGGATAAGGTAACAGAAAAGGGATAGGGTAGAGTGAAATATCGAAAAGGTCAGGCAGTGTAACATAAGAAAAGGTAGGGTAGATTAGGGTAGGGTAAGGTAGGGTAGGGTAGGGTAGGGTAGGGTAGGGTAAGGTAGGGTAGGGTAGGGTAGGGTAGGGTAGGGTAGGGGTAGGGTAGGGTAGGGTAGGGTAGGGTAGGGTAGGGTAGGGTAGGGTAGGGTAGGGTAGGGTAGGGTAGGGTAGGGTAGGGTAGGGTAGGGTAGGGTAGGGTAGGGTAGGGTAGGGTAGGGTAGGGTAGGGTAGGGTAGGGTATAGGGTTCTTTACTTTGCTGAATTACGCAAAAGCTATATATAGTCTATAGTAATATATCTAATTTGATGTGTAAACAAGTTGATGATTACACTAATGTGTTTATAAATAGAAATGAACTATAACATACAAATTGCTTTACGTAATATAATGCGATTTTAATATTATTAGGCTGAAAAATTTTTTACATTAGTTTTCGTTCGCGTATGTTAATATTATATCCCTACTACAATATACCCCAACACATCAGTACAAATTAAAAATTTCAGCAATCCTGGCAAGGTGACAATAACTCTTCAAAATGAACTCAAAAACTATTCTCATTGCTTTGGCCGTTTACCTCTGTGTTACAGTAGCGCTCGCTATCAAATGCCACACTGGCGTGGATACGGTAGCGGCCGGCTCGGTGGAGTGTTCGGAAGGTCAATGCATGAACTCGACGTCGGTCGAAAGCTCGGTCTTTGGCTGTGATTTTAGTCAAGTCTGCGAACTGTTCCAACTCTTCGATGGTTGTATCAGCGACGGCGACAAGGTGGTATGTTGTTGTAGTAGCGGCGACAACTGCAATGTGAACCAAGGCAGCTTGAAGAACGTGGTCAGCAATTTGGTCAGCGTTTAATGACTTTACGTTAGCATTTTGAGTTCTTAAGGAATTTAAACCCTTAAGGCATTTAAATTTAATTTTAAAATTTTGAATTATCGACCAGTCGGTTTTGAAAAAAAATAATTTTTTTAAAAATATAATATTTTTTTGTATTTTATTATGGTTGAAATGTTTTTCAAAATTTTTTGTTAAAAAATATCGACCGGTCGATTATTTTAAATTTAAAATTTGAAAATTTTTTTGAAAAAATGTGTCATTCTTATGCTTTTTTAGCCATTTTTGTTATAAAAATACATTTTTTGATAACTATATGAGTTTAAAAATGGCATTTTGTAAAATTTTAAAATTTTTTAAAATTTTAAAAAATTTTTGAAATTTCAAAATTTTGTTGTAGTCTAGCCTTTGTTGAGTCTTTTTTTTTTCATGGTAACTTTACCTCAGTTGTATATCTTCGAATCGTATCACGGGACATCAAATATTTGTTACATGTACATTACAATCCAATACCTTCGTATCTTACTGTTTTTCATAATTTATTCGTTTTTAAGATAAACTTTTATATTATATCTACAAGCTGGTGTTATTATAGTAAAATTTTGTTATATAAGACGTCTCAAGAAACATGGTTGACAGGGTCTATCTAGGGCGGCAAGGGCTAGGGTAAAGGATAAAGACAAACAAGGGCAAGGCATAAGGCAAGGCTAGGATAAGATTAGGGTAAAGTAGAGCTAAAGTAGGCTAAATTAGAACCAGGTAAGGATAAAGCAGGGTAGGAATGACTGTACCAAAGCTAAAATAAAGCAAACATAGAGCCAAGACAGGGTAACAATAAAGCTAAAATAAGGTTACGGTAAGACAAGGATCGGTAGGGTTTAATCATGAAAAAGGGACAGAGCCGAAGAACAATTGGAAGAGGTTAAGCCAAAAAATTAGGCCCGGCCCAATCCTTTTACATATTAAGCCAAGCTCAGTCCTTTAAAAGCCTTGTGGAGCAAGCAGTTAGCTGTTGCAGAACTAATGTAGAACATAATAAAACATAGGTATGACTAAAGTAAAGCTGGAATAACGTTAAGACTAAAGAAGAATAGAACAAAGGAAGGCCAGATTTTATTTATATTTTTTATTCTTGTTCTACCCTACTTTATTTCAAAAGTAGGGTAAAGTAAGATGAAGAGAAGGTAGACTAAATAAAGTTTCTTATGATCAAATTTCACAGCTTCCTATATAGAACAAGGTAAGGATAAAAACTATAGTTCAAAGCAATCAAAACAATGTTGCCCTCGACTGGATAGGCATTCCATACATCGCCAGTAGCCGTTCTAAACACAAGTCTTTGATGAAAACGCTTTTATATTTTTGTTAAAATACAAAATTTAAATATAGAAAGATTAAAAAAGCTTACTTTTCCTTTGATTTGCTCACAAAACCAATGACATTCATCAACCCAGTCTTTACATACTGAGCGGTAGCACATTGATATCAATGTGTCTAACTAAAAGTAAAAGCTTAAACTACCCGAAATTTTTTCTTTTACAATTTTTCACCCTACCCTACCCTTAAAATTTTAAAAACCTACCTGATTCAAGCTTCTAGCCTTTGGCCTAGCGGTTGATTTTTGTTCCCAATTGATGACTGTTGAGTTTTTACGTTCGGCCATACAAAATATTGCTGAATACAGCATTAAAATAAATGTAAAATACGTTGATATTTTTGCGTTGATGCTTACCATGACGTGCTACGTCATTAACTGAAAATACTTTAAATTATGAATTACAACTTTAAAAAAATTGCAAAATATTGGTCACGATGGATAAGAATAGTAATAGTGCTGTCTCTAACTCAGAGCCTTAGCTCAGAGCCCTAACCCAGAGCCCTAGCCCAGAGCCCTATCCCAAGGCCGTAAGAATAGCTTAAGGCCTAGCTTTAATCCTAGTCCTGTTTCAGCACTGCTTTAGCCTACTTTTCTCTACTCTAGCCTAGTTTACTTGTTTTACCCAGCCCAAGACTCTACTATAATATTTATATCATACCCTACCATTACACTTTAAAACCCTATAGAACTATCAAAACCAACCCCATATAAACCTTTTCCCAAAAACGACATAACAATAACCAATAACGTAATAAAACGGTTAATTATCGACCAGTCAAAAGGCTTCAAAACAGTTTCCGTATGAAAACTTTTTCAACATACGATCGTATTACCGCATGTTAGAGAAGAGTAATTAAAAGTGCGCTATTGTGGAACACTTCTTCGAAATCATATTATTCTTGTTTCGAAAAGTCTTGTCAAAAAGTTATTAATGCCTGGTTGACTTGTAATTGTTTTGCAATTACACGGTTTTTTGACAAGAAAACAAAACTTATATTATAGTTAGTGACAACGTACAAAACTTTAAAAGTTTTTTTGAAGTTTAAATTAGGCCAAAGTGGCAAGCGGGTATAGTTTAAGAACATGTTAAGATAAGGGTAGCTTAAATAAAAAGCTAAAAGTAAAAACTAGGGCTTTGGGCTAGCGCTCTGGCTTAGGCTCAAGCTCCGGCGAAGTATAAAGATAAATTATAGTCAAAAGCAAAGGCTAATGATAAGGCTAAGGCTTAAGCTCAGGCTAAGAATCAGGCTTTTAGGTTCAAGCTCAAGCACAGGATCAGGCTGAAAGTAAGGTTAAATTTAAAAATCAGGCTAACACTCAGGCTTAAGCTTAGGTCTCAAGCTCAGGCCAAAGCTTAAGCTATGGCTGTTGCTATAAATACCACAATGGGTGCAGCTATGCCCAAGGCTAACAATTGTAAGGCTAAATCTATTACTGAACTTAAAACTAGGTCTTCAGCTCAGGCGCAATCTAGACTAAAGCTAAAACTAAGATTAAAATCAAAATCGGACTAGGCTTACGCTGAGGCTAAAAATAGGGCTACTTAGGCTGGCTCAGGCTTAAGTTCAAGTTCAGACTCAAGCTAAAGTTACGGTTATGGCAAACGCTAAAGCTTCGGCTTAGGTTAAAGAATAACAATAAAGTATCTAAGCAAAAATTCCATTTTTAGTTCAAAAACCCAACCCCTATTCCCCTCCCCCCTCTCTATTCCTCTTTTTCTACCTCAATATTGCGGTCCCATAAAGTCTCTGAACCTCTATATTACGATCGATTTGACGATCCGAAAATTAGAAAAATAAATCGAAGCCGAATGGCCTTGATCCCCACTTCTAAAGCAACGGCCTCAATTTCGAGTTGAGAATCTCTTAAACTCATTCTTCTCGCATAACCTTAATTATAAAGAGCGAAGGAATAAGGGATGGGGGGGGAGGTAATAAAGGTTGTTGCAAAACTTCCTAAAAACTTTTGAAAAAATTAAAATGCTTGCCTTTGCCTTGCCTTGCCTTTGCCCTGCCTTTGCCCTGCCTTTGCCCTGCCTTTGCCCTGCCTTTGCCCTGCCTTTGCCCTGCCTTTGCCCTGCCTTTGCCCTGCCTTTGCCTTGCCTTTGCTCTGCCCGGTCCTGCTCTTCCTTGCCTTCTCCTGGCCCACTCTACTCACCCGTCTCCCACACCCCTGCCGTAGCCTACCGTATCATTTTCTGATTTTCTTTACCACACCTTAAATTATGCCATTTTATTTTACCCCCGCCCATCCCTCATGTCTAGCCTGAAAATCGCGGCGACAAAGACGCATGAATCGGAATAAAAATCGTTCGAGAATTAAATGCCTTCAAGGAATTCCGGCTAAAATGTTTTCACTCGGAAAATAACAACTTCTCACTTCGAAAACCCGATTTAATTTATACAAAAATCGCATTCAAATGTTGTTCGAACCACTTTGTCGTCGCTTCGAAATACGTTTTTGAAGATACGATTTGAATACGACAAGTTCTGGCAGTCTTAACGATGATTAGAGGATGTTTCTGTTGGTTTAGAGAGTTAAAAATGTCTATGTTTATAGTAAAACTAAGGTAAAGTAAAGTCGATTACAGTAAAACTGGACTAAAAAGAGCTAGAGTAAAAAACAGGTAGGCTAAAGTATAGCTACATAGGTGAATAAGCATCCATAATAAAGAAAAGTTAGACAAATGTAAAGCTAGACTAAAGTAGAGCTAGACTAAGGAAGAGCTAGACTGAAGTAAAGGTAGACTAAAATCGAAGGCAAGGCAACGGCAAGGCTAAGAAACTCAAAATTAAAGTCAAAATCAAACAGATCTGTATATTTATTTACATCCATGAAACGTGTTATACCAGTGTTGCAATGATATTACAGTGCCAAAAAAACCTCACAACTTTCAAGATACAGTGTTTACAGAATTACGACTTAATTAGACTCTCCACGGCTAAACCAAGGCTAGTTTTCTTTTTCGTCGGGGGTGGCGTTCTTGTAGCCAGACTTTTCGAATGCGCTCTTCATTTGAGAAGGACCGGACTCTGTCGCGGGCGTGGATTCGACCTTTGGACTGGTGTAATGGCCAACCTTCATCAAATGTGATCCCAGCTCATTGTCGAATATCGTGGGTGCGTTTGAGGCACAGCTCTTGAGCTAAAATTAATTTTTTTTATTTTTAAAATTGTAGTACTAATACTATGTAGTATCTTTAGTACTATTTAGTACAAACATAATACTAAACTTACACTTTTATGTTCTGCTTCTTTCTCGTATGTGTTATTTTTGTCAGTTGTCTGTTGTGTCTCCGCCGTACCTTCGTTCCTTCGCTGCCCCAATGGAATCATCGTCTTTATTGAATTCGATCTTTGCGTTCGGTCTGTCTGCAAATATAAAACACGGTAGTGATAATTAAAAAATGAATTTCATGGTACTACACCATGAGATATACTACGGAAAAAATTTTGGACCCATCAAGAGTAGAACAAGACCATTTTTCTAAGATAGGACAAGGTAAACTAGCCTACGATAAGATAAAGTAAGTCAGCAAGACTATAGCAGGACCTAGGTTATAATTACTGTAGGTCTGACTAGATTAGAGCAGAGTAAACAAGGCTTGAGTACGATAAAGTAGGTTTTGGCAAGACTTAGTTAGACTAAGACCAGAACTAAGGGTGAGTTTAACATGTATCGGGCTAGAGTAAGGCGGGTTAAAAAAGGCTTGAGTAGGATAATTTAGGATAAAGCGTAGCAAAAGCAGAGACAAGACGGGGGCTAGAGCAAAAGTTAGGGCTCGGGGCTAAAGCTTGAAGCTAGGGTCTTGGGCTAGGGCTCTAAGCTTAGGCTTCCGAGTTATGGGCTAGGGCTCTGGGCTAGGGCTCTGGGCTAGGGCTCTGGGCTAGGGCTCTGGGCTAGGGCTCTAAGCTAGGGCTCTGGGCTAGGACTTTGGGCTAGGGTTCTGGGCTAGGGCCTTGGGCTAGAGCTCTGGTCTTGGAATCTGGGCTCTGGGCTAGGGCTCTGGGCTCTGAGCTCTGGTCTCTGGGCTCTTGGCCTAGAGCTCTGGGCTAGGGCTCTGGGCTAGGGCTTTAGCCTAAGGCTCTGGGATAGGGATCTGAGCTAGGGCTCTGGGCTAGAGCTTTGGGCTGGGTTCTTAGCTAAAGCTACTTTAATATAAATTGAAGTGAACTTACTTCCCCTTCCGCTGAGTTTGACCTGGCAGTACTTTTGGAGTTCCCAACTGGAGTGTTCTTCTTCTTCTCCTTGATCTTCTTCTCCTTGATCTTCTTCTCCTTGATCATTCCCTTCTCTTTCTTGTTCTTATCAGACTTCTTCTTCGAGCTTTCCTTAGGCTTGTTCTTATGCTTTGGACTTTCCTTCTTCTCCTTTAACTCCTTATCCTCTTTCACTGATCTTGACTGTGACCTGCTCTGAACCTTCTTGCTGGTTTGTTTTTTAGACGACTGACTGACTAGTTCACTTGGCAGCTCCTTATTCGACTTCTTCTCCTTTGGTTTCTTGGCCTTTGGAAGGAAATTTCGCGCAGTTTTGGGACTTTTGGCACTGTTTTTCGTTTCTCTATGGCTCTGACTTTTTTGGGTTTTATCAAGCGGAAGGAGGGGTAAGTCGCCTTCGCTAAAATGTATAATTTTTTTAAGTTTAATTTTTTAAATTTGTACAATTTAAATCTAAAAATTTGTAAAAAATTCAAAAATTGTTTTCGGCGCCAGTTTTGGCATTCTGCTTCAATTGTTATTTTTAAAATTTTACAGTTGTTGAATCAAACACAGGCTTAAAAAGCCTACTTTCAAATTTTTTCGTAAATGGCCAAAAGAATTCAAAAACCAATTTTGGCGCCATTTTTGGCATTCTGTTTCAGCTGCTTCTGTTTGTCCTTCTAAACAAAAAATACTGACAAAAACTCAAAAAAAATATATAATTTCGTATTTTACAGTCTTTAAAAACTTCAAAAATAACAAAATTTAAAACTCAATTTTGGCGCCATTTTTGGCATTCTGTTGCAAGGTGTTATTTTGAATTTATCAATTGACACATGCTCTAAAATCCTTATTTAACTTATTTTAAACGTATTTGAAAAGTTAATATTACTTTAAAAGCCTTTGAAACATAATGCCAAAAGTTTTATGCTTTGGCGGAATTTTTTAAAGTTCAAAAAATTGTCCTAAACTTTTAACAAACTTAAAAATTATAGTAAAAATGAACTCACGGTGGTATGTACGGTCTATGTTTCGATGCTTTCTTGTACTTCTTCCGTGTGCAATTCAAAGTGAGATAGCCAACCAGTGCCATATGACTTGTCCAGAAAAATATGCAAAACCATAAGGAGAGCATTGGAACCGACCGGAATCGCCAAGTTGATGATAAGAAACTGAACAAACTTTTATTTTTTTTTTGAAAATTTAAAAAAAATTTTGAAAATTTAAAAATTAAATTTTTTTTATTTTTTATTTTTGAATAAAAATTGCTCGTCCTTGTAGGCTAGTAGCTCTAATCCAGAGCCCAGAGCCTAGAACCTAGAGCCCCAACTTTAGGCCGAATTCTAGCTCAGAGCCCTAGCCCAGAACTCTATTGAGAAAAATAAGAAACGAGTCGGAAATAGGAATTTTTAGAACGGCACGGGCCGGATTTGAATAAGATGAAAAACGTGCTAGATCTAAACTCCAAGTTTGGCCCAAGAACCAAGACTGAAAATTAAGCTTAGCCTTAGCCTAAAATAAAAAAACAACAAGACTTTTTTCAGCGCTTGTTTATTATGTTGTAATTTTATTCAAATAAGCATGAATAATATAGCAAGTATAATATAGTAATATTGAAAAATTGGTTTGTCAACAATATTGGCTTGAATAATATCAAAACGATTAAATAAATTAATATTGAACTAGTTATAATAGTATATATAGCTGGCTATGTTAGGACTGAGGTATTACTGTCCCATATTCTTTGTTGCCCACTTGAAAACAGTAAACATTTGTGGTAAGAATCAATCGAAAATGTACAAACTCACTTTGATTGTCTTGATTAATGTATTGTGCTTTACCCCTACTTATGGCGACTTTTTTGTGAGTTACTTTATAATGAACCTTTTGAAATTACAAAATCTTTTCAGGGCGACGTTGCAGACACTGGCAGTGAAGTCATAAGTAGTATCGGCGATACCGGCAAAGACGTCTTTAATGCAGTAGCTTGTGCTCCTTGTATTGGACTGGTCGAACTGTTCTTCTGGTTGCTTGAGAACTCCGATACTTTCTATGACGTAAGTTAATCTACCCTACCGTACCCTACCGTAGCCTACTGTACCCTACCCTACCGTACCCTACCCTACCCTACCCTACCCTACCCTACCCTACCCTACCCTACCCTACCCTACCCTGCCCTACCCTACCCTACCCTACCCTACCCTACTCTATTCTACCCTACCCTACCCTACCCTACCCTACCCTACCCTACTCTACCCTACCCCATCTTATCCTACTCATCACCTACTGTACTGTACTCTACACCGCTCTAAAAATTTTGTAATTCCAACCTTATTTTAGTTAGTCGACTGGGCCTGTGACCAATTCATGTATGGAGTTGTGTGCAGTGTTGGCCTAGGATCGGCTGGCCTGGCTAGTAATGTTCTCACTCCACATTACATTTGCACCTCCTTGATTGGTTCTCCAATCTGTATGCAAATTGACAAACGGTCGATTTCCGACATGTTTAATGGAATTGACCAACAATTTGAAAATATCGACCAAAATCAAAATTATGGCCAAAAGCAAAGTCATAACAAAAAGAGTCAATTCGGCCAAAATGAAGACGTTTTGACCATTTTAAGTCGTGTCTTCAATGATTCTCGACCGATTTATACCAAAAACCAGAAGGAATTCCAAGAAATATTGACCATGCTGCCAATTCAATCCCTATCTGATATCAAGCCTGCGGTCAATAATTTCAAAAAGGTATGGCCTGCGTTTCGACCGAAAGATCAACAAGATCTGATTAAAATGGGCCGTGATTTCAAGCAAAATGTCAAGACTGTGCCCATCGAACAGAGTTTGGACGATTTGAGAAGAATCAGCCATAAGTATAATGGAGCCTTGGCCAATATGGCACAGGAGGGGAATAGGCAGTAGAAGGCTCATTATTTTAAGCTTTTGAAGCCGACCTTTTTGGCTTGAAGGCAATTCTCTACTATACTTTATATTAGGTTGTTCAAATAGTACTGTGGTCAATTTAAAAGCAATTGCCAAAAATTTTTATGATTATAGGGTACAGAATTAATTGAACAACCTAATAACAGGTTGAACTTAAAAATCTTGATAATGTAGCGGCTAACGCTACAAAACCTTGTTTATGACGTTTTACACTGAGACAGCCTTCAAAAAACTTGTATTTACTACTACCAGTAGTATATTATACTGGAAAATCTACAAATTTTAACGACTTTTGTTACATTTATTGTTTTATTAATCTAATAAGTTACTTATGCTTAATAAACTGACTTTAAACGACTTAAATATAATTTATTTGCGTTGGCAAAGGGTTGGGAAGGCTTAAAAGTGTTCGAAGAAGCCACCGCTCAACGGACGTTTGAGATTACCGAGAAAAGCCATAGCTCGGTAAACGCTTAAAATTGTCGGCGGAAACTACATCCTGCTTCAAATTCACCAACGCAAAAATTAATTTTACAAAAGTTTTATGAGCTATTCTTCAATGTAAAACATCAATATAAACTTAACAAAAGTAATATATCGTCACCCTACTTTTACTCTAACTTAATTTTATTTTTGCGACGCTTTTCTGCTTTTTGTTAGACAAAACTTACATTAATTCTACTCTACACTAACTCTTACTTAGTTTCATCATAGCCTTATCTTCTTAGTCCTACGCTAGCTCTACACTATTAAAAACGCTGTCTTTTAGAAAATTGCTTTAAATAAGCCCTACTCTTATTTGTTCAATTGACTCTAAGTAAGCCCTATCCTTATAGTTCAATTGGTCTACTCTTGTCTTTTGATTGCTTTCTTGCTTTACCTTAAATTCAGAATAGTTTTTTTGTCTTGTCTAGGATCTGCTTTAGTCCTTCCTCAACATTTGTTTTTACCTTCTTTTTTTCTATATACTGTTTTTTTTTACTTTTGTTTTTTTGCCTTACCCTAGTTTTTTTTCTTTTTTTTTGCCTTTTCCCACCCTACCTTTTGATGTTTTTCCTTATGTTTTAGCCACATCTTTGTTTTTTGCCCTACCCTTGATTTACCTTTGTTTTTTTTGCTTCACGCTACCCTTTTACTTTTTCTCTTCTTTATGTGCTGCCTTGACTTTAATTCCACACACTTCAATGACTTTATTTCTCCAAATCTCCAGCAAACAACGGACATTTAACTTTTGAATTGAAAACACTATCCTTCGGGCAATTAAAAGCATTGGCAAACGCTGGGAAGTTGGCCAAAGTTCTCCAGCATCTAACTGGAGCAGGGGCATGTGAATCGTATGTTATATAGCTATCCCATGGTGTTAAGATATTCATAGTCTGAGCTAAATTGACAAAGAATTGCTGATCGTCACTCAGCTGCAACAGAAATTTTGATTTTGGTCGATTTTTGATTAAATTACGTAAGGTGTACTTCTTGAAGGCATTGTAGGCCCATCTGACGCCCAACTGATCAGCTATGTTCTCTTCGTATGTGCCGTCAGGGTTTACACATATGTTAGGGTTATTTGGATTACATTGGCCTTTGTAGAGTTCCACTAGACATTTGTAGTTGTTTATCATTGATGGACTGGCATAGTGCTTATTGGCTATAAAAAACCTTTAATTTACTTTTTGCCGTAGCCCAGAGCCCTAGCCTAAAGCTCTAGTTCAGTGCCCGAAGCCCTGGCCTAAAGTCCTGGCCCAGAGCTCTAGCCCAGATTCCAAGACCAGAGCTCTAGCCCAAGGCCCTAGCCCAGAACCCTAGCCCAAAGTCCTAGCCCAGAGCCCTAGCTTAGAGCCCTAGCCCAGAGCCCCAGCCCAGAGCCCTAGCTCTAGCCTAGAGCCCGAGCCCAGAACCCAGAGCCTAGCTCTAAATCCCTAGCCCCTGCGCTCTGACAGTAAAGAAATAGCCCAGAGCCATGGACTTACAGCCCATGGCTAGAGTCTTAGTCCACAGCTCTAGCCCAGAGCCCTAGCCCAGAGTCCTGGCCCAGAACTCTAGTCTTAGCCTTTCAATACAAGGTTGCTAAGCTTAACTTACCAAAGCTATGGCCAACTTCATGCGCGATGATGTATCCAAGACCAGACAACAGGTAAGTTATAGGTAGATTGGTTGTATATATTGGGAATAAAAATATGTTAAAGTAGAACATGTTGGCTTGGTTTTCGTCGTGAAAGGCGTTGTACTAGAAATGGCATTTTAGATCAGTTTGAAAGACTTCGAAAAACAGTTCAATATAATGTTTGCAAGCTGCGGAGGACAAGTTATACGATGAAAAAGTATTACATTATGCATAGGCGTAAGATATTAGGTTGTTAGGTAAGTCGTGGGCCCCCTTTCAACACAAATGTTTGAAAAATCAGGAAAAAATTAATATATATCGCAAATTGAAAATTTTGATGTCCTTTTATAGTTTAAAACCTATATTTTCAGAATATGTAAGTTTCAAACCTCTTTTAATTTTTTGTTTTGTTGTTTTAGTGGCCAGAACATTATAGGGCAAATGACGACTTTGGGTAGTGATGTAAAAGAGTACAAAACAAGTCGTAACGTTAAAACTACGGCCGGATTCATAAATAAGACACATGGACAAAGTATTGTGAGCTACACAACAGCAAAAATTTGGTTCCAAAAGCTTCCTTCTGGAGATGAGACGCTTGAAGAAAAGTGGAGGTCCTGTAGAGTAGTTCTCTATAATTCCTTGAAACTTGGCCAAACCATAACTGTTAGTACGTATTCTATTAATATTGACCAAATGCGCCACTATCTACCTTCAAAGTTGAGAAACAGAAGGTCAATTATTGTTCATGACAGTGTCCGCCCCCACTTGGCAACGATGACCGCAGAAAAACAACGGGTTTGGATACAAAGTTTTTGACCATCATTTGTATTTACTCGACATGATAGCTACATATTACCATATTTTCAAATCTTCGATAGCATTTATGTGTCAGCGACAATCCACTGAAGATGACGATGTCATGGAAGCCATCAAAATTTTCTTAGGCTCTAGAAATTCTGAATCCTATACTACTGGGATAAAAATGCTTAAAAACGTTGGACACATTGTGTTAATGTTGATAATAACTATTTTGATTAATAATTAGTTCTTGTTGTAACGCAAAAAACTTTTTTTCTGATACACGGTTAGGGGGGCCCACGACTTACCTAACAACCTAATACTTACCTCCAAGTCAGGAAGCAATAAGTGCTTAACACCGTGTACTGCTTCGTATCTCAGTATAGGAAAGTAATTGTTAAGTAAAAAATGTGTTTTTGGATAATTAGTAGATACTCGGTTACTGTACTTTTTAAAGTTTACATCATCGTAGAACTGATGATTAACAAATGCAAATCGATTTTCTTTCAGTTTCAGTGATAAGTCAGCAATAACATTATCCTCGATCACTTCGCTTTCTTTAACATACTCAGTAGCTTCGTCTAGTATCAGATTTACTATGGTAAAAAAGTCATTTCTCATTTTATGGAAATCACTTGGATCTTTGCGTATCTTGTCAATCGACAGCTTTACTACATGTAACGGGTAGTTTTTTACTGTGTAGTTTTCACATGTATAATAGTCTTTTGCTGTAGAATCGTACAGTTCTAGTAAGAGTCTGTTTGCCATGTAGGAGCGGGCCCAGGGCTGAAAAGAAGTCAATTTTAGATTATGAAAAGGCCCAGGCCCAGGTCTAAGTCCACAATTCCAGGAACCAATCCAGGTTTAAATATAGGTCTAGGACTAGAACTAAACCTAGGTCTAGATCTAGGTCTAAAACTAGAACTAAGACAAGGACTAGGACTAGGACTAGGACTAAAACTAGGACTAGGACCAGGACTAGGACTAGGACTAGGACTAGGACTAGGACTAGGACTAGGACTAGGACTAGGACTAGAACTATGACTATGACTATGACTAGGACTAAGTCTAGGTCTAGGTATAAGTCTAAGTCTAGGGACCAGGACCAGGACCAGGATTAGGACCAGGACTAAGACTCTGGACTCTGGGCTAGGGCTCTAGGCTAGGACTTGGGCTAAGAAGGTAGACTAGGGTTTAGAACTAGGGCTTTGGGCTAGGACTCTGGGCTAGGGTTCTGGACTAGGGCTCTGGGCTAAGATTCTAGGTTAAGGTTCTGGACTAGAACTCTGGATTAGGGCTCTGGGCTAGGGCTCTGGGTTAGGACTGGGACTAGGAAGATGGACTAGGGTTCTGGACTAGGGCTCTGGGCTAAGGATCTGGGTTAAGGCTCTTCACGAGGTCTCTAAACTAGGATTTTGAGCTAGGGTTCTGAACTTGGGCTCTAGACTCTGGGCTTTGGGTTAGGGCTCTGAACTAGGGCTGTAGACTAAGGGGTTAAACTTACAATTTGCTCTTTATTTAAAGACGGAGAAGGTGTTGGCCATCTAACATTGAAACTTGACGCATTTACATTGATTCCATACACAATTTTTAAAAATTTCGATGAAAATTCTTTTGGCACTTTAAATAGTTTAAAACTATATTTGTCTGGATACTTTGGATACTTATTACAAGATATTACGGCACAAAGGCTTTTCCTAAAATATAAAATACAATTTTAATTGTATTGATTAACATTTTGATTTTGCAGACTGCAAACGACATTTTATACGATGAAAGGTAGCTTGTGAACTTAAAATTTGCTTGTTATACAAGAGTTTTGTTATACGGGTTTTAGTGAAAGTAAACTTCACTGTACTAGTAAAAATAAACTTACCATGCTTTATCACTATCAACATACGATTCACTTCTCCACGTAAAGGTTTGCCTCCCTACAGCATGGTTCACAAAAATGTCTTCGAAGATAGCAGACCTTCTAACAAAAAGTAAATGAAATAGCTTGGCTACAAGATAATCAAACTGTTCATCATTGGTAATAGCATAGTCATTTGGAGTAAATGGCATACTGTAGTTTTTAAACTCAAATTTTATAAATTTTGACACTTCTGAATATTTAAGTTCATCATGACTTCTAGGTGGTTGACCTTGTCTCTTGCATTTTCTGTAGTCGTTGATCACTGCTTGAAGTGATGGTATCTGAATTTTATGTATATGTAGTTGAACAAACCTTACCATACCCTACCCTACCCTACCCTACCATACTCTACCCTACCCTACCCCAAGTCTTGTCTTACATTACATTGTTAACTTGTAATACCTTAACCTGTAATACCTTGCCCTGTCTAACCTTACCTTGCTCTGCTTCTCTGTCCTATATTACCTTTTATAATCTTTCTTTATTCTATTGTACTATTTCTTGCTCTGCTCTATGTATTAAAGTAAAATGCGGCATGACTTCTTTTTATTTATCATAAGTTGTTAACCTACATGATGAACCCAGTTAGTATCCTCAAACAAGTTATTTACGTATTCAGCTTGAAACTTTTTAAAGACGGAACGATTAAACTTGGTATTCGCATATATACAGAAGTTGTCACATGGATCTACTTGTAAATTCATTTGTGATTCCATAAACTTTGCCTTCAAGTCAACTGAATTTGTTTTACATGAAGACATAAACATAGGTATACATAGTAACAATAGTACAAAGTAGAAAGTTTTCGCCATTTCTTGGCTTATACTTTTTAAATTTTAAAATGAAAACGCAAGGTAAGCCCAAAGTGGCAGTTATAAAATGAAATACTGACTGTTAGTCTTCATTTTATTCTTTTTAATTTTATTATAATTATGCACTTTAAAGCTGAATTTTAAATTTAAATTTATATAACTATGGGTCGTTTAGCTATATATATGTAAAACATGTGCTTTAAATTTAATTACAATTTTGCGTTTTAAATTAAAAAAATTTAGTTTTTGAACCTTTGATTGAATGATATGTTATGATTGACATCATACGCATTTCATACAATATAGTTCAACATCTCAACTTTGAATTCAAAAAGTTATAACATTCAAATATTATTACAGTAGATTTCAGTGTTATTACAGTAGATTTTCTTAATTTATAACAAATCAAGTTTTATACTGTAGTAAGTACTTTTTATTATTATCAGTATTATAAAAGGCCAAAACTGATATGTACAAGTTGTTTCGGTAACAGTTCAAGTGAGTACAGTAATACAAGTTGCAGTACAAGCCCATTTTACAATTACTACAATAAAAGACACAATTATAGTATATCACAGTACATACGTATATATTTTGAGATTTCAAAGTTGTTTGTTATATCTGCAAATTTGAAATCTTCTTTATTATCCCTTGTTCTGGTTTATAGAAGTATAAAAAACCTATTTCAAAGTCGACCTAGATAAACCTAGTCCAAAGTTCGTGTATCCATAAAATCCTTGCGCAATACACTCGAAAGACTTATTTAAAGCATAAGGCCTGTAAACTCGCACTAAAAAAGATAAAAGCAAACAGCTCGAGGTCAGTACAAAATAATTTTCATCAATGAACAAAATTTTGTGTGGATTCAAGAAACTATAAAAACCGATGTAAAATATACATATTCATCACTTTGTACCTCCATCTTCAAAAAATAAAGTCATGAGCCAGGTAACCACCACCGTCTCTAAGACCTCGGTTTTATCTGCCGCCTCGACTAAGGCGCCACACTCGCCAGCCAGCTTGACCAGTCCGGACGAATTGTCCAGGCCATCATCGGCCGCTTCCGATCATTCGGAAGCCAGTTTCTTGCCGCTCACGCGGCTTCTGCCGCCGCAGAAACCAGTGGCCGTTCAGGTAAATAATAAAATTTTTATTACGGTACCTTGCCCTACCTTATTATACCCTACTTTACCAAATTCTGCCCTAAATTCCCTACCCAATTTTACCTTACCCACCCCACCATACCCTACCCTACAATATATTACCCTTTACTTAACATAACATTAATTTTCGCTTATTTCAGACCGCCCCATCTCGTAAGAGATCCTGGACTGAAGGTCCTACGGCCGACCTGCATAAGCTGCTGGACGACTTCGAGCGCGAGCTCCAAGTTATAAAAATAAAGCAACTGTGCTGCTCCAACGCAAGACAGCACGCAGCCCTAAACATTGAAATTGATTGTGTGATGGCCAAGTTTGCGGCCATCAAAGAACACTGCGAAGCCAAGGAGGCCAAATTAAAAAAGACAAAATAATAATGATTTATTGTTTGTAATAGTTTTACAGTAGTAACACGGTATATATAACAACCTTAGTAATTAATAAACATTAATAATAACTATTTTAAATGTTGTACATATTCATTTGGTTTATAGAATGTACCTATTACAGTAACTTGATATAGCATAAAAAGGTAAAATACGGCTTGATTTTCACCTAAAAAAATATTTTTTATTTCAATTATAAGCCTTCTAATAAGATACATTAGCTTTGTAAGCCAAAATCACGTTGTCTACAACAATGTATTGATGAATAGAAGTAGACAGTACTAAAATCTATTAAACACTAATTCCCCAACTTCTTGTAGTACTGACCGCTACCATAACCAAAACCATCATGAGTATTAAATGGAAATCCCATTCGAAAAAGCTCTGTATCAGGTCCAGAAATCATGCCATCTTCATTTCGTTGTACATTCTTTGGCTCAGTATCTACTATCGTATGTACTCCTTTGTATTCGGGATGATCTACACGATGAAGGCCGGCTTCTGATAGAGTAATTGTGAATAATAAAATTAGGATTAGGTAATTAAGCATAGTTTTTACAGAGAATTTGTATTTTGTGTTGATCAAAAGTTAGCTTAGAATTAGAAAATTAAGTTTCAAATGTAAAAACTAGGTTTAGAAAGTTAAATAATTAGCCTAAAACAGTAAAACTAAGCAAAGCGTTAAAAGTAATACTAAACAAGTCAAAAGTGACTTAAAAAATATAGTTTGGACTGAAGAAATTAAGGAAAGACTTTTTGATCTTCAAATTTATTGGAAAAAACTTCCTGTCAATTACAGCTGTTATTACAAAATGAAAAACAAAGTAGTTATTACAATAAATTCTGCTTCAAATAGACAGTTTTTTTTTTGTAAAAATATAAGGAAGTAAGCAAAGATAATGTCCTGCACTGCCCTGTCCTGCCTTCGCCTTGCCTTGCCTTGCCTTTTTCCCCGGTTTTTTTTCCCTGCCTTTAACTTGCTTTTTTACTTACTTGATTTTAAATTAGTTTATCGTTCCTTTTAAAACAAATTACAATCTCTAATTTACCTTATAGCCTTTTTGCTGATATAACTTACTCTGTCTTACGGCCTACTCTAATCCATAACTTATACTATAGCCAATATTATGTACTTCAAAACCGATTGCCTTTAAAAACTACGAAAAAACATATTTACTTTACTGTACAAAACCTATACTACTACATAACAAAAGACAACAAACATTCATCAAATCCGTGTAGTAGGAAAACGATCCATTCGCATTTCTAAGCCTCTTCCGCCGTTGAAGTTTTCGGATGTTTCGTAGCTGATGATTTCTGTTGGGTATGCATTGTCTTGGCCTGAGTGAGTTGTGTAGCTTGTGTTACGTCTTTGTCGTTCTTTCCTGTATAGTGCCCAACTTTGAGCAGAGTCGAGTTGAGTGAATTTGCATATTTGGTTGGGCCATCTGTGGTGAAGGACTGAAAGTAGAAAGTATGATGACTATAATGTAAGGTTTGTCGATTATAACAAATCTTTCATTCACCTTATTCCACTTATTCCACCTCTTCATTAACGAGTTCTTTGAACAAAAGTACATTAATTTACTACAATATAAGCTATAAACCTACATGTTCCTTTGGTCTTTCTTTTGACGAATCGTTGGTTAATTCTTGGGTTTTCTGTTCATGCTTCTCGTCAATTTTCTTGTCTTCGCAACATTCTGATACTACTGGTGATGACTGTTGTGTAACTTCGACCTGAAAGTACGAAATTTTATTTTTCATCCGAAAGCCATTTTTCAAAATTTTAATCCCTACCCTACTCTACCCTACACCAAACTACCGTAACCTACATTGTCCTAGCCCCTGTGTATCTTACTCTGCCCTATGTTACCTTATTTACAATTTTCCTATTGCCATCCCAGTCTTACTGTATTTTACTGTAACCCACCTCAGTTTTCTTATCTTTGTTCTTTCTTCTCCGACGGCTACTGGAGGTGTGGGGGGAAGATGAACTGGACCTGTTACTGCTCTTCTTTTGCTTCTTATTCGACTTCTGTGCGGTCTTCTCCGTCTGCGAATCTTGCGTTTTGGCTAATGTTTTGTTCTTTACACTGTTGTAATGTCCGCTGAAAAAATTTAAAGTTAGGGATACCGTAAAAAATCAAAAAAAAATTAATTTTTAAAAATTTAAAAAAAAACTTACTCCCCTTCAGGCGGGATATACGGCCGTTTTTTTCTCCGAAAATTTATGTTTGGCTTTATTCTGAAAAACAATTGATTGTTCCACAAAAGATGAGAAGTTGTCCTGACCAGAAGAGGATCGTTAACCAAATGGAATTCATCAAACAAACGGCGAAAATTCGACCGTTTTGCGGATTAAAGAATACGAAATGAGGTAAAAAATGGTAAAAAGTAAATTCGAGAAGACGTTTTTTATTTCAACAGAGTTTTGAAAATTGTTTTTTTGAACAAATTGGGCCATGTCTTCTTTGACTACTGATGTTAGACATAAGAAACGGACCGGGCCTAACATTCAGGCCCTGCCCGTTTTTCATGTCTAACTGATTAACATAGCACTACGAACATTGTATTGTACTTATTGCTTATTATTGTGATTTTAAATTTGTTTATTATAAAAAATCTTTGGTATACATAAGTTTCAAATGCACTTATAGTGGTAAACAAAGATTTGAAAGTTGTTTGATATATAATATCTACAGACTATTATAACTTGAAAGTTTCAGACAATATCCTTTGCTGAACATTACAGAAATATCAGAAACCTATTTCAAAGTTGACCTAGATAAACCTAGTCCAAAGTTCATGTATCCATAAAATCATTGCGCAATAGGCTCGAAAGACATATTTAAATTATAGGTCTAATAAATCGGCACAAAAAAGATAAAAGCAAATAGCTCGAGGTCGGTACAAAATAATTTTCATCGATGAATAAAATTTTGTGCTGATTCAAGAAACTATAAAAGCCGATGTAAAACATATTTTCACCACTTTTTCATTACCTCATATCGCCATCAACCCCAATTAAAAAAATGGTTCAACCAACCGCTACCGTCTGCGGAGCCTCAGCTTCATCGGCCGCCCCGACCAAAGCACCAGCTTCACCAGAGGCCTCAACTAAGGCACCGGCCACGACATCCGGCTTGACCAGCCCAGACGAACTGTCCAGGCCATCGTCGGCAGCTTCTGACCGTTCGGAAGCGAGCTTCTTGCCGCTTACGCGGCTTCTAGCGCCACAAAAACCAGTAGCCGTTCAGGTAAGTAATAAGAATGAAAGTTTTTGCCTGACCCTACGCTACTCTATCCTACTCTACCCTACCCCACGATACTCTACCTTACTCTACGCTGCCCTATCATGCCTTATCCTACCTTACCCTACACTACACCTCTTAACTCCTCCCTTAACCTAACATAACATTTATCTTTGCTCATTTCAGACTGGCCTATCTCGCAAGAGATCCTGGACTGAAGGTCCTGCGGCCGACGTTCATAAGCTTCTGGACGATTTGGAACGCGAGTTACAAGTAATAAAAATAAAACAACTGTGCTGTTCTAACACAAGGCAACGTTCCGCGCTTAATATAGAAATCGATTGTGTGATGGCCAAGTTCGCGGCCATTAAAGAGCACTGTGAGGCCAAGGTGGCCAAATTGCGGAAGACGAATTAAAAAGAAGTCTTATGTTATTGTAATTTTATAGTTTATATTAATCATATTGTGTATATTAAAACCTTAATAATTAATAAACATAATAATGTTATTGTTGGGGTTTTTTATTTTTGCTTATCTTCGTAAGGTTTACGTGGAAAAACTTTTGTTATACGGAAGGTTCGTTATATGAGAGGTCCTTATACGGAGGTTCCATTGTATTAACAACAACTATTTACATAAGCTTATCGTATTAACTATAAACCTACAATTGATCATCATTACACAGAGTTTTACTGTAGTTAGCTTTCATACTTTACCTTATTACTTTAATGATACATTACGCTCTTCATACTATGTTTAATCCGATTTATCCGTTTTGTAAGATTAATTCCCGCATCTTCTTGTTGTGTGCACGTCGCCATAGCTACGATCCCCAAATGGCCGGAAAATGCCTGAGGGCCAAAGCGTTTGCGCGGTCCTTTGTTTTGGTTTTTACGACCTGTCGCACCAGTCAAACGCGGGAATGTATTCGGCTTTCAATGGCCGGATTAGTGACACAGTAAGTTAGTTTAATGATGCTTATTACGAACGGAAAAAATATATTGGGGGGGGGAGGGTGGTTTAAAAATTTTTTAGTTTTTTGCTACAGTAATCATTTAAAAATATTTCAGAATGAAAAAGAGCCGGTTGAAGTTGAATTTATTGGGAAGTTTAACAAACTTCAAGATGATTGTACGATGCTAAACCAGATGATTGAGCAAATGCTATTGACAAGTGGAATTTGTAAGAGATATACTGGAGAGCCAGCTTACTGTTCTTTTGGCCCTAATACTACAATATCTAAGAGTACCACAGTAAATCAAAATACGGGTCATCAAAGAGAGACAGGACTGCAAAATCTTGCTGCAAGCTGTCATGGCACTGATGATACTGTGACTCGTGGTGCTGTTGGTAGTAAAATTAATAGTAGTACTAATCTTCGTGATACTGTTAATACTAAAACTAGTATTTATGATAATATGGAAAACGTAAAAAACGGCGAAAAATTATTCATCTCTACTAGTGATAATACTGTAACACAATATGAAGATACCAATACTACTAAAGAACCGTCCCAAAGCTCTACTACAAAACCTACGTCAATACCACAGTACCAAAACACAATACGACGTCTATCTTCTCAAACCAAGGACACCTTGAGACCAATTTCAACCAAACGTCAACGCCCAACCTCAGGTTACGGAAACAGAATACGAAGCTATAATGCCTATGTTAATCAACGTATTCGACCAGGTTCATCTCTACGCAGATCTACAACATCATTCCGTGGTCGAGTGCTGTCAGCGCCTTCTAGAATGCCACCATATCGATGGCTACCTAAAGTTACTGTACCTGTACCTTTTAAAATGACCTTGAGGTCGGTTTAAAAGAAATTATAGATTTTAAACATAGCTGAACTCCTATATAACAACAGTCTTGTATAACGAAGAATTTCTTTAGCGGTTCGCCATAAAAAAGTCTTACCGTAGTAAAAAATTAAAAAATGTTGTAAAAATTAAAAAGATAAGGTAAAATACGTCTGCTGTCTCTTTTATACAATGATTTAAACTTTTTAGAGATCAAAATCGACCAAAATCAACCTATTCCAAGAGGTTTATCGAGCAAATGTTAAGAGAAGAACGACAAAAAGAACTTTTGGAAATAAAAGAACGACAGAAACAGTAAGACAAGTTTTATCTTCGTTTTATTTTTGTAAAATACGATGCGTGTCTATGCGACAAAACAAATAAATTAAAGCTTCGTTTCAAATTTACAAAAAGCTAGTTATTTTTAAAAATTTTTGACTAAAATCATATTTTCTTTACCTAATTGTCAGTAGAAAGTTTTAGTTTTGTTTATATTACCCATGTTCATTACAACAGAACATTAGTCTAAAAGAAAACTATAGTTTTTTATTTTCAGGTTCAAAGCACGACCAGTACCATCTACGACTTATGCTTCCAACAACTCATTTTATATTGGAGTAAGTTTTTAATTGGGTCAGAACTAGAGGGCTAGAGAACTAGAGGGCTAGAGGGCTAGAAGGCTATAGGGCTAGACAACTAGAGGGCTAAAAAAGATGGCTGGGCTAGGGCTTTCTTTCAAAATTTAAAACAATATTGCAGAAGCTCCGCCGTTCCAAATCCGCCCACCCCTCAACTCGTCGTAAACCTTCACTAACTCAACACAAAGTAATAAAAGCCCGTCCACCGCCATTATCAACTTACATTCCACCAAAACTAAAACAACCAAACAAAGAAAAGACCATTCAAAGAGCAATCACAACATTGACAAAAGCCCACGAACCTGGCCACATGGCTGAACACTCGATCAAATGGAAAGTTCAACAACGTCTTCGTCATGTACCTCAATGTTATGTTTCTAAAGAGCTCGTACCAAGAGTACGATCCTCTTCTGTTCCTGATTTTAGAAAACTTCATCTTGATTTTGAGCTACAGCTAGATGAGGTTAGAAGATCACGGCCGATCACTCTTACGGAACCTTTCAAGTTCCAGACTGATTACAATCGACATTATTGTGCGGTAAGTGGTTTAATAGGTAGTGTTTTATTATAAAAACAATCGAAAAATAAAAAGTTTTTCTAGAAATATAGTGTTAGAAGAAGAGTTAACTCAAAAAAGGGAAGACATGACTCAAACAAACAAAAACTTAAATCAGCAAAGGAGAGACTTGACTTTCAAAAAGGAAGGTTTAGGCTAGTGATAAGGCTAGAACTAAGGCTAGGGCTAGAGATAGGGCTAAAGCTAGAAATAAAGCTAAGGCTAGGGCTAGTGCTTGGGGTATTGCTAGAACCAGGGCTAGAGCTAAGAAAAAAAACGGAAAACATGGTTAGGTAAGGGAATACTTAACCCAAAAAAAGGAAAGACTGAAGTCAGAAAAGGGAAGACTTGACTCAGATAAGAAAAGAATTAACTCAGAAAAAAAAGAAAACTTGACCCAGAACAAGAAAGAACTAACTCATAAAAGGGAAAGAAGAAGGGTTGATTCAGGAAAGAAGAGACCAAACCAGAAAAGGGAAGAAATGACTCGCAAAAAACAGACTTGACTCAAAAAAAAATTTTTTTTTAGTTTTTTTAATAAAACTATTTTTAGAACTGGACCTTCCCCAACGAACAAGAGCTCATCAAAACTAAACACATGGATTTTGTATAGCTTTTAAATTTTAAAATAAAATTTAATTTAAAAAACTTAAAAATTAAAAAGAAATCGTAACATCTGTATCTGTACACAAAAAAAAATATTTATTACAACAACCTATAACAACAACACCCATATAATCTATCTTGTTAAAAAAGTTGATATTCAAAATCACAGTACAAATTTAACGTACAACTATATATCGACATGTAATATCTAACACTTTATGTCATTTATCGACATGTAATGTATAACATTTTACGTAGTTCACCACATATTCTAGTATATATCTACAGTTATATCTAAAGTTCATCTCTGTTTGAGCGTACTTGTTTCAGTGATATTATGTCGCGGCCATATTCCTTGGCCAATTTATTCCAGAAATGCCATTTTTCTGGTTGAAATTCTTCAGCACGAAACTCTAATGTGGTGTTGATATTGGCATAGTTCTTGCGATCTTTTCCTAAGGGCTTCCAGTCTGGGTGAGGTTTACTGTAAATTATAGGTTACTGTAGGATAAGGTAAGATAGTATAAAGTAGGGTAGGGTAGGGTAGGTAGGGTAGGTAGGGTAGGTAGGGTAGGTAGGGTAGGTAGGGTAGGTAGGGTAGGTAGGGTAGGTAGGGTAGGTAGGGTAGGTAGGGTAGGTAGGGTAGGTAGGGTAGGTAGGGTAGGGTAGGGTAGGGTAGGGTAGGGTAGGGTAGGGTAGGGTAGGGTAGGGTAGGGTAGGGTACGGTAGGGTAGGGTAGGGTAAGGTAGGGTAGGGTAGGGTAGGGTAGGGTAGGGTAGGGTAGGGTAGGGTAGGGTAGGGTAGGGTAGGGTAGGGTAGGGTAGGGTAGGGTAGGGTAGGGTAGGGTAGGGTAGGGTAGGGTAGGGTAGGGTAGGGTAGGGTAAGGTAGGGTAGGGTAGTGTCTTACTTACCCAGTCAAAGCCATGTTAGTAATCATGTCTACCACAACCTTCTGATGTTTCCTATCTTCATCATCAAATTCAAATGCTCCTACAGGGTAATCGCCGTTCATATATGGATATTCGTTGGCATGAGTAGCTGCCTTGATCTTAATGTCATCTGGATATTGTGATGGATTGAAGTGTTCAGTATGATACAAATAAGTTGTCAGGCCATTGGCTGTTCGAAGGTCGGCGTACTGTAGAGCGCCGATGTTGAAGAAGAGGTCGCCTGTTAGCTAAAAATCATTTTTTAAACGTAATTTTAGGCTTACATTAAGTTGTTCACTTAATTCTGAGCCCTTTGACACAATATATTTACAAAAACTCATAAATTTTAATATGAAAAATATGTTACTTTAGCATTATATTAACCATGCCTACCTCCATATACCTCCACAAATAGAAGTTTTCCTTCAGATTTGGGTCAGTAACTTCTTCATGTCCTTTAGTATAGAAGTCGACAATCTTATCTTCAAGATCCTTCCATTCCTTGCCCAATCTCTCTTCGTTTGTCAATGTTTTATGGACATATTCCACGAATTCCTTTTTGGTATATACACCTTGTTTCATTTTGGGAATGTCTAAGCTATTCATAACCATAAACTGATTTAAAATCGCTGAAAAGACATGATTTTGGCTAGATTAGCACGGCCTTTACACAGAATAGACCTCACAATGGACTGGACAATAACATTATTACACTACCCTACCGTGCCCTAACGTGTCTTATTGTGCTCTACCGTGCCCTAAAGTGACGTATTATGCCCTAACGTGACCTACCGTGCCCTAACGTGCTCTACCGTGCCCTACCCTATCCTAGCCTAGTTTATTTTATCATACCCTACACGAACCTACCCAGCTTTAACCACCTTGCTCTACCCCTACTCTATTCTACCATATTCTACCTTACTTCACTCTACCCTACACAACCCTACCTTGAAGCCTACAACACAGAGTAGCCTTTTCACTAGCTTTTTCCTAATTTACCCTACCCTACTCTACCTCATACTGTAACGTATTTTTTACCATACATTACGCTACCTAAAACTGTAACCCATAGCCCGCAATCATATCCTTTACCCTACCCTACTCTACCTCATTATATGTATAACTATATCCTTACTACCATACCCTACTCCACCTTATACAGTAATCATACCATAGAATTACTATACCCAAAGCTTACCTATGCTTAACCTTCAAAACGAAGTTTACCTTGCCTTACACATGCCATATTTTACCCTACATTACCCTTTAAAAGCTTTGCCATGCTTACCTACCCCTAAAAATTAAAAAAAAACCTCCCCTTCACACAAAAACATTGACATAACCACAAAATAATAATATTAACACAGACAACTTACTAAAATAAAGAGATTCAAGCTTGGTAACGCCAATCATAGCATTGATTTTCGTTTTTTGAGCTGTTTCTTCGACCAGTTCGTATACATGTTTAGGTATGAAATTTCCATCGTACGATGGAATGAACATCAGAAGCTCGACTTCTGGAATTGGACGGGTCTGAAAAGTAGATTGCTGATTTTTTTTGTAGTGTACTGTAATAAAAATTGTGGGTATTTTTGCAAAAAACAGTAAACGCCATTCTTTTTGCATCAAAAAAGTTTAAATTTTGTAAAAAAATTTAAAAAAATCTTAAAACTGACAATCTTGCTTGTAGCCTCTAGGAACTCATCAGTAGTTGTTTTCTTGAAGCATTCCTTCCACTTTCCATCTTCACAATTCAAAACGTCAGCAACTTCTTTTGAGTACTTGACAAGATGAGCTTGGTGCTGAACTCCCCATGGACACAATGGGGTACCACTCATGCCAATTATGTTGTGAATGTAGTCTGAAAAGCAATAAATTTACTTAAAAAATTTTGAAGCTCCTACCCTATCCTACCCTACCCTACTCTACCCTACCCTACCCTACTCTACCCTACCCTACCCTACCCTACCCTACCCTACCCTACCCTACCCTACCCTACCCTACCCTACCCTACCCTACCCTACCCTACCCTACCCTACCCTACCCTACCCTACCCTACCCTACTCTACCCTACCCTAGCCTACCCTACCCCACCCTACCCTAACCTACTTTACCTTACCTTACCTTACCTTACTTTACCCTACCCTACTTTTATGATATCTTACCCTACCCATCCTCTCCCTGCTATAGCACTACCATTGGTTTCTTTTACTTTAGTCCAATCTACCCTACCCTAATTTAACTTGCTCTGTCTTATCTTACACTGTTTTACCTTTACATGCTCTACCTTAACTTTCCTTACTGTCTCCTCCTCTACCTGCTCTATTTTTATCCTACCGCACCCTATCTCCTCACACACTATCTTATCCTATATTACAATTCCCTACCTATATTAGCCTTGCTAAAGCCATACTGTAACCTTACAATTAGTCTTCAGTCCATCCTTTGCGTTAACTCATTCTTACCTTTACCTTTCCTTTACCACGATCTTATCTTATGCCAATCTCAACAACATAAGTCTAGTTCTTACATTTTTTTAATTTTTTTTTTTTTTTTACAACTTTAAAAACCTCTCCTTACCTCTAGAATAAGGAGACAACTCCAACACGCCGACACTTCCTCCGCCAGCACTCAATCCCCACGCCGTAACTTTGCCATTATTACCACCAAAGCTATGTATATTATAATGAACCCATCTCAAGGCCTCAGCTTGATCGTACATTCCAAAGTTTCCACCCAAGTTCTTAGTACCGTCAGTGATGAAGCCCATTGGGCCTAGACGGTACTGGATGACAATGACTATGAGACCTTTGGAAACAAAGTTTTGGGTCAAATTCTTGTAGCCGTAGGTTTCGGCCAAGCCCCAGCCGAAGGCGCCGCCGTGAATGTACAAAAGGACAGGGTAGCCGGCTGGGTCTGAGGACTGAAATTTTAATTTTTTTATTTTTTAGGCTTAAACTTTACAATTTTAAAAATTTTTCCAAGTTTGGAAATTTTTTAAACCTTTAGGCTAGAACTTCAAATTTTTTTATCTTTTAGGTTTTAAATTTAAATTTTTTAAAACCCCTTAGACTAAAATTTCAAATTTTCAAGCTCTTTTTATTTTTAAGCCAAAATTTTAAATTTTCAAAAATTATTTAACTTTTTTAAGCCTAAAGCATAAGCTAAAAAAAATAAGCCTAAATTAAAGATTTTTAAGTTCCTCAATCGTATTTTACAAAATCAGAAAAAACCTGCTTACCGGTTCAGTTGGTACCATAATATTCATCTTCAAGCAATCTTCATTATAAGGTTGTCCTGGGGGCAGCATCATTGGAACACAGCCTGGGGCAAACTGAGTGGCATTCAATGGAGAACTCCATTTCTTTGTCCATGGCTGAGTTTTCTAAAAAAATTTTTTTTGTAAAATACGACGTTATACATTGTGTCTTTACCAAAATTTTTAATAAATAAGCACTTTTCATCGTATAACTTGCCCCTTTTTTAAAAAATAAAAATTTTTTCACAAAATTCCCAAAAAACTGCCATTCCTTGCCATTTTAAAACCAATACCCATCTCTTACTTCAAATCTGAGCTCTCCCAACGGTGGTTCCGCGAATGGTACACCCAAGTATATCTCCGCCTTCTTGTCCGTACATGGATCCACGTAGTAGAAGCCATCGATATCACCGAATTGAGTCAAGCGACGAGGTTGAGCCAAAGCCGAAAATGAAAGACTGAGCAGTAATGTACATGATATGATAGGTTTTAGCATGTCACCTAAAACGTGATATATTAGAGCTTGATGCTAAAAGAATGGCGCTTCTTAAAAGTCTTGATGCAAAATGAATGGCGCATTTTTTGTTTTTATGCAAAAAGAGTGGCGCACTTTTAAAATTCTTGATGCAAAAAGAATGACACATTTTAATATTCTTAATGCGAAAAGAATGGCATGTCTTAAAATTCTTGATGCAAAATGAATGGCGCATTTTTTGTTTTTATGCAAAAAGAGTGGCGCACTTTTAAAATTCTTGATGCAAAAAGAATGGCACAGCTTTAGAATTATTGTTGCAAAAATTATTGTGCGTTTTAATATTTTTGTTGCAAAAAGAATGGCGTGTTATAATATTATTGATGCAAAAAGAATGGCGCACTTTGATTCTTAATGCAGAAAGAATGGCGTACATTTGTATTTCTTGATTTGATAAGAATGGCATGCTTTTATAATTTTTGATGCCAAATAAATGGCACATTTTCAAATTCATGATGCAAAAAGAATGACGCATTCAAAACTCAAAAATTTAAAAAAAGTAACGACACGTTAATGACTTTCAAACTTTAAAACTCTTTTTTCCAAATAAACCCAACGTTCCCCACTGTTCCAAAAGCGTTTTCTCAAAGAAAATTTACTTAAAAAAGCCGCCTTAACTAAATAAAGACAAAAACCATGAGGCAATGTTGTTAAAGACCCGAATAAACAAAATAATTGCGACACGTAATTTGGGGACGAATTTGATTCAATTACCATGAATTTAATTTAAATTTCTGAAATTAGGTACGACTGTATTGTTTTTACGAAAACAATAGGCTTACAGTAGGAATTTTTTAAAATAATTTTTTCTAAAAAATCTCCTAGCCTTAGCCCTATTCATAGTCCTAGCCCACAAAAGACGAGAATGGGGCTATAGACGGGCATTAATAAGGCAGGATAAGGCACATAAAGGTATAGTAGAGTACAGTGCGGGTAAAACAGTGTTTAAACCCAGAGCCTTAGTCCAAATCCCTAGCCCAGAGCCCTAGCTCAGAGCCCTAGCCCAGACCTCTAGCTCAGAGCCCTAGCCCGGGGCCCTAGCTTAGAGCCCTAGCCCAGAGCCCTAGCCTTAGTCCAGGGCTTTAGCCTCAGCTCTAGTCGTAGCTTTAGCCCTGACTTTAGCCATACCACACTCCTAGCCCAGAGCTCTAGCCCAGAACCCTAGCCCAAAGCCCTAGGCCAGAGCCCTAGTCATAGCGCTAGATGTAGTCAAGGTTCTAGTCCTAGTCTCAGCCCAAGCCTCGGCCCTGAGTCAGCTCTATTCTTAGCTTTAGTCCTAGTTTTAGCCCTTTTCTTAGCCCAAGCCTCTGCTTACAAAAAAAACTTTCTTTCTAGCCCTTACTTTTAAAAGCCGCCCCTGATTATTAAAAAACTTAACCTACCAGGCTGGAACTAAACATTTAAAACCACGTTTTTTCGTTTTTTCAAAATAGTTTTATCTTGCTCTGTGGTTTTTTATCGCAAAGTTTAATCTTTTTCAAGAGTTTGAACAATCAAAAACTGTTTTATCTTACTTATTTATCGTCAAAAAGTAACATTTCATTATTTTTGATAAAACAACAAAAAATGATTTTTACAAAAGTATAAGCTTTATACTACAGTGTTTATAGCAACACATAATGTCTACTAATTTTCATTTTTTAATAATAAAACAAATACTATTTGTTACCCGTATATTACATAAAATTAGTTTATATAATAAAAATACACTTTTTTTAAATTTTAGAACATTTATTTTGCTTATTGTGACGTATTTTAACCTAAAAAATTCAAAAAACATGCTTTAGGTCTCACCGAGATTCGAACTCGGGTCGCAGGATTCAAAGTCCTGAGTGCTAACCGCTACACCATGAAACCACCGATTCGAAAGCGCGAAACGAAATGGGATATACGATTGAAACGTATCTTTAAACAAACAATGGATATCGTTAGAAATATAAAAGACTTAACTCTAAACACCTTCCAAAAATTACCTAGGTAGCATTATAATTGACTTTTAATGACACTTTGGTTTAGATTCCAGTGAGTGTCATACTAAATAGGCTTGACTGCTTAACCTTATTTCATCAAAAACAGAAAGTTTCTTACAATATTTCCAAGAAATCGAATTAAAATCTAGAGTTTTTCATTTGCCCTTTTGTTTATAATGCCTTTGTAAAAGTGAAGATTACTGCACAGTAAACTATAGAAACAACACAAATTAAAGATCATTTTTGTTAATACCACTCCTAGTTTTACCGCCTTATCATATCTTAACTCATGAATATTCTAGAACTCTTCTACACAACCCTACCCTACCGCACCATACCCTACTTTACCCTACCCTACCCTACCGGTCCAGACCCACACTGACTTACCCAGCTTTACTCATATTCTCTTAGCCTTACCCTGCCATATTCTACCTTACTGTGCCTTACCCTGTCTTACTAATACCTTACCATGACCCCAGTATAGCCCTGTGCTAGCCTGCCCTTGCCTTACTTGTGCCATATGTGAGCTTTTTACTAGCAAGTTCTTGACCATACCATTGTCTTTTACACAGCTTACTTCAGCTTTACTCTAGCCCTACCTAGTTCAAAGCGCCTTGTCGTACCCTACCTAATTTCATTCATGCTCTACCATAGCCCCATTCTAGCCCACTTTTAGCCTGCTCTGACTCTACCCGAGTAATATTCAAGGTTTTTACCAGCCATTTCTTGGCCAAAGCATCATCTTTTCTGCACCCTACCGCACCTTACACTAGTCCTACTTTAACTATAATCTAACCCATCCTCCACAAGTCAAGTTACTTAAATAAACCTTAAAAATTAGTCTTAAAACAGCCCTTTTCGAAACATTTTCTGACAATTTTTGCTTTTTCTCTCCAAACTATTTTAATGCATAAACAAGTAATCGCCTTTTTCTTTGTTTTGTGAGCACAAAACGAAAGCACAAACCACAAAATAGGTAAGTGTAAAGATAACAACATCAATCTATCATAGAAACTTTTAATGTGTCATAAAAAAACTTTTGACGTATTATAAAAAATTTTTAAAATTGACAGCCGGCTGTACATACAGTTTGATTAAAGCCTATGAGATGTCGGTTCCATGGTGTAGCGGTCAGCACTCAGGACTTTGAATCCTGCGACCCGAGTTCGAATCTCGGTGGGACCTAAGGCATACTTTTGAATTTTTAAGAAACGTTTTGATGTAAAATACGACAATAATCGTTTTGATGTAAAATACGATCAACGTCTAAAAATCGGTATATAGTAACAAGCAAAACAAAAATTATATAAATACTATTCAAAAACTAATCAGACAGTAGAAAATCAACCCCTTGAAACAAAAAAAGTTCAACCGTTGATAAATTTTAAAACAAATCAAACTTGTAGAGGTAATTTGTTGTGACGTATGTTCTCTAATGATTTACAAGAAGACCCTAGTTCTATTTGTAATTTGTCTTACTATAAAAAAGGTCAAGAAACCAAAAGTTAAAATATCTATCTAAACCAAGACCTTACTATAGCTCTGTTCTACAGTACCCTATTCCTATTGCAGCTCTACTCTAGCCTTACTGCAGCCTCTACTCTAGTCTTACTATAGCTCCACGCTAGCCTTACTGTAGCTTTAACTTAGCATCTATCATATCCGTTAACCTAGATCCTACCAATGATCTACTAGTTCTACCCTACCCCAACATTAACCTTACGTTAGCTCATAGCCTTTCCCCTACCATAGCCCTACCTACACCATCGAAGCTTACTTAATTTTCTGCCCAGGCCAATTTAAAGAATCGAGAATTAAGTATCGTAAAGCCGGGCCAAAATATAGCCCATAGTATAAGATGCACTACCCCAATCCTTACCCTAGACCTGCCGTAGCCGTGCAGTAGCCTACCGTGCCCTAGTCATTCTTAACGATAGCGTAACCCTTCTCTTAACCTTTTTATATTTTACTATCATTCTACACCATCCTTACACTAGCTCTACTTACTTCTTCTATCCATCATAAACAAATCTAATATCACCTAAAAAGAAAACGTTTTTTTATTTAACAGTGTCAATACTCTATCCTATCCTACTCTACCTTACCCTTTACCAACCACAATTCTAACTGATCACAATTGAACTGACTAATCTTCTTTTCTGATAAAAGACAAGCGTAAGTATTGAGTTGAAAAGACGAAGAGACATTAAGAAAGCCCAAGCAAAAGATCAAAAAGATCGAAACAAGGCCGTGGTTCCATGGTGTAGCGGTTAGCACTCAGGACTCTGAATCCTGCGACCCGAGTTCGAATCTCGGTGGGACCTAACAGAATTTTTGGGTTTAAAAACTTATTTTTAATGTTTTTTATTTGTAAAAAAGTAGTAAAACTGGAGCTATATTATCTTAACACTTCTTATTTTATATTAATTCTTTTATATAGTTAAATCAGTGAAGAATACAGTAAAATGTTACCAAATTTCAAATTTTAAAGCGTTTTTTGATATAAAAAACCCAAGAAAAAACCTAAAAAAGTTGTGTTTTTTATTCAAAAAAGTAAAGAAAAAACTTTATTCGAGTGCACTTTTGGATTAAGAGAACGTATATGTACACATAACATTTCATATGTACGGCCGATTCTTTTACACGACATAAATTATGTCTCACAGACGAGAAATAAACCCTGCAATTTTGAGAAAAATGCAACAAATTTTAGAGAAAAATGGTTAATTTAAAATGGCATTCAATAATATGCCATTTTGAAATGACTTTTTTGAATAAAATTTATAGATTTCAAACACGTCATTCTTTTTGCATCAAAAACTAAATTACATCATTTTAGCGCTATCTTTTCTTACCGTGCTAGCCCATAGCCCTAGCCCAGAGCCCTAACCCAGATTCCTATCCCACAGCCCTAGCCCAGAGCCCTAGCCCAGAGCCCTAGCCCAGAGCCCTAGCCCAGAGCCCTAGCCCAGGCCAGAGCCCTAACCCAAAGCCCCAAAGCCTAAGCTTTAGTCCTGGTCGTAGACCTGGCCCTAGCCCTAGCCTTAAACCTTGCCCTAGCTTGTCCTACCTTACCTATACTACACTCTGCCATAACATAATTTAGGCCACGCCATTCTTTTTGCATCTCTTGCTTTCAAAAGCTAAATTTAGATCCAACTACGTCAAATTTCAATTTTTTAAATAATAGAAGGATTTAAAAAGCTACAGGAAGTCAATAACATGTCAAAAACAGGCCACTTATACGACCAATAACATGCTATTAAATATATTATCAATTTATATGTCAATGTAAATAGCTAGACAATAACATCTATTTTAGTCTGAAATTTTTTAGAAAACAATTTTTACGGTCAAAAAGTTTGTAGAAAATTGAAAATGTAACAAAAAATCACTAAAAAGCGTATTTTTGGTCAAAAAGTCTGTAGAAAACACAGAGAAATGTCACATACCCTATATTTATAGCTGTGTTTTAAGTGACTAAGCCCCTATAATAATATACACCCTAATGACTATACCAAACCAGTAGTTTAACAAGTTTACACACCGATGTAGTTCTGTTCGAAAAGTATTTACACTTGTTCCCCTCGGGGGGGGTTATTTTCCATTTGCGTCTGGAAATGGACTTCCGAAAAAGTGCCAAAAGCCGTGAGGTTTTGTGGTTATACAAATAAATAAAAGTAGGATTAACTGTGAATAAAAAGTGTGATGTGGGAATAGTAATTATACTTTTAAACGTTTTTTGAGATAGACAATTCTAAAAACATAAAAAGGGCTGATAATGAAAGCTTTAAATAACTTTATCTTGCCTTTCTCTATCGTAATCTACTCTACCCTACATTACCGTACTCTACTCTATCCACCTTACCTCAGCCTAGCCTACCCACCCCTACCATAACCTACTCCACAGCCTACAACTTATAACAGCCTAATCATAGCCATATCCATGCTTTACTTTATCTTACTCTACCCGTACCTTCTACAATAAACAGGTTTAGCTTTGCCCTGCCCAAAACTTACCCGAACATTACCTTTGGTAGGAGGTCTCTACTCTGCCTTACAACTTCCCTTACTTAAATTACTCTTTAAAACTACTTTACTTTGCATAAAAGCACTTATATACCATTCCAATAATTATAACAAAGCCTTACAGCAATGAGAGAAGCTACATATATATGTATACCTGTACATATAATCTTTAAATTTCAAAAAATAAACAACCTCCATGCACACAATAAAAAGTAAGCAACAAAACTCTATGCACAGTGCACTATGAAACATTTATTTCTACTGTACTTTTTGTACAAACGGTAAATGTAATAAAATGATGATGATTTAAAACTAAAATCAACATGTATGTACAATGAGTAAAAGTTGGCTAAGACAAAATATAAAACATAAAATATAGTGAGATCAATGATAATATAGAGATGAGATTCAGTTCTATACAAAAAAGTATCAAAATGAAAACATTAAAAATTTGAGAACATTTAAAATGTTCAGAAGATCAAAATAAACAAAGTTTCTACGTATTTAAGCAAGGTAATATTTAAAAGACTAATACAAAACCCAAAAGGCCATGAAAATATCAGAAGGACCTACTACAACATCTCAAACGGCTAGAATACCATCCCATAATCAGTATAAAACCTCAAAACCTTCTTACAACATTACTAAAACCTCACACCATACCCATTTTAGCCATAATAATGTGGACGCATCTCTTGAGCAACAACGTAGTTCATGGCCACCTGTTTCTGAGCGTTGGCCAAAGCCGCCTCCTCCTTGGCATAGATGAAAGCCTGTTCGTTGTTGATCGCGTTCTCAACTTGAGCATGATGCAGAGCTTGTTCCGCTTGAATGTAGTGAAGATTGTTCTCCATCTGAGCATGATTGTAGGCTTGGTTCGCCTCGATTTGATACATGGCGTTCTCAGCTCCCATATAACCGTAGCCGTATCCTGGCCGTCCGTAGGCACCGTAATATCGTTCACCTCGGCTTTCAGCGGAGATGATGGAGGTTAAGGTCATGAAGATGGAGAAGGCCAAAGTTGAAGTTAGAACGAAGCGAGACATCTTCTAGTGGGGCTTCTGAAGCTGAAAATAGAAATTGTGTAAGTTCAAGCTCATTTTAGCTAAACTGTCAGAAAGTTTAAACGAAATTCAAGGACTTACAATCAAGCTTCAGGTGCTTCAAGATAAGATTATACCAATTCAAATTGAGACGCTGCTCCTTTGGGCTTCAAACTGACTTTCTGGAGTATTCAGTTGAGATTCTGAAGGTTTGAAGTTGTTTCTCAAGGTTTGAAGCTAAGATTATATCACTTCAATTCCAAGTTTGACTTCTGTAGATTCCAAAACTTCAAATAAAGGTCCTTTCTGCGTAGATTTTGAAGTTTGACGTCGAAATTCGTGAACAAAGCTGTCTAAAACATATTATTCATAATTTAAAAAACTATTATCGACAAGATACATTGACAAAGTAACACGAAAAATACAAATAACCCTAAAATAACATATAAAAGGTTTTAAATAACTGTCAAACAACTAAAAATTTAACGAAAAACATGAACAATTTCAAGATCAACAAGGGATATATAAAATATTCATCAAGCTTCTGTAAAAGTCCAACTTCCCTGACCAGTACGGCACAAAAATTGCCAAAACGAAAACAAAGAAATGACAAAAGATTTACCGGTAAAACTGCTGGCCACCACAATCTATAAAATCCGTCATCTTGTTCATAAAATCTGTCATCCTTCCATTGATCTTTCTGGAAGTTTCTGAAGAAGATTTTGCATATAAAAACGGACTGATATCAAATAAAAAGATCACTATAAGTTAGAAGATTTTGTAAAGTAGTATAAATTTTGATTTTTTTAGTATTTTTCATGTTCATCTTCTTGTCATATTGTTTCATATTGTAATTGGTGGTTGATACAGCGAAAAATACAAATTTTATGTCTGTAATGCTCTGTTATGACCAAAAATTAACATACAGCTTATATAGTAGAGATGACATGCTTGCAAATTTTGAAATATATTTTACTCTTTTAAGGTCTTTTATTACCTAATGTTTCAAGTTTTATAATTTTTGAAAAAAAAACAAATTTTTCAAAAATTTTGATGATTCTTTACCAAATATATTTTTATTAATTACCTTTTTACTCTTTCAGTAGCCTATTACATTTTATAATGCCTATTTGACACTTTATTTCCTCCTCCGATATCAACGTCACGAAATGCCACGTTTTGAATTTGGCGGTGTTTCGTGGAGCCTCTGCGAATCAAAACAACAAGCAGGGTCGCGTCCATTCGCATAGTCCGTTTTCCTCCCTATTTGTACGTTAGTTTCGACTCCGTCTTGCAATCAAGTATAACGATGGCTGCTGCTACTGCTGCTCATGGATTCTCTGTTTACGGTAAATTTGAATTTGTTATTGTCAGGTGATTTGAATAAGGGCATGATCTTGAAGTTCTGGAGATTTAGCGTAAAGTTTTGACGTAAAAATTCTTTTTCAAAGCTTAAAATCGATAAAATACGTCAGAGTATGGATTTTACGTTAAGATACCTGCCGGAATTTCAAGTTTATCATGCTTTTGATCGAATGTAATACCTGAATTTGTTGTTATTGATGGAGGAGTTGACCGTGAAGGTCTGGAATTAAAAAGTTGTAGCGGAAAATTGGGAGATTTTGTTCATTATCTTATTAGAGATTGGTTAATCGATATTGTTTGAAGAATTTGAATATAAGTTCTCAATATTGATATCAATCTATTTTTGTTACCTAAAATTGATTTTTTAAGAGATTCCAAAAACGGTTAGAAACTACGTTTTTGTGTCATTTAGTGTGTTAAAATACCAAAGCATTGAAGAAGTAGGTAGGATTTGCATTCGTAGAGTTCTTTCGGCATTGTAAGCCAGTCTTGTAAAAATCAATGCTTTGGTCTTGGAATTAATATGTGCTGGTTAATCAAGCTGTTGAAACAACACGAGGAATACTGAATCATTGTTATTTTTGTTGAATGTTTCAAAACACAATTTTTATCGTTTTGAAGCAGAATTTACGATAATATAGCTGAAAAGCTAAAAAAGACACAAAGATCTTGTCGCAAGATACGATTAAAGCATTCACTTGCTGTTTTACGTATTGAACGTTAAAACCTGGTTTTTAAAATGAAAAATTGAATTCCTTGGTTTTGTAGCCATTTATGGCATCAGCCAGCACAAGATTAATGTAAATGTGTTTGTGCGCCTACTATTGCTCTCCATAGGTTTCTTTGCTTTTGTAAGACGGGCGCACAAACGGGGTCATTCGAATTATTGGGGTCTTTTGTGAGTGGAGACGCGCATCGACTGATGAGAGCCCGTAGACACCGTACTCACCTGTCCGCATGGGAAACGCGTTAAGGTGAGTGATCTCGGCTGAAGTCTTTGAAATGCGAGTTTGGTTCAAATTCTCTTTGGATTACTGTTGGTAAATCAATATGAAGTTTTTTTCGTCGATAAATTTGACTAAAATGTTATTTTCTTGATGAACTTGCCTGAGAATGTTATTCCACTGATGAATTTGAGTCAACTTTGCATCTGAATGTCTTTAACGCTTTTCTTTGTCTTTAACAGTTCTTTTTCGTGTTTAACAACTTCTGACTTTGGTAGTTGTTAAACTCTTTGTTAACGTCTATTTGAAGGGGATTAACTTATTAATGTGTCTGTTTTAGTTGGAAACATTCCATACAACGCCACTGAGGCTGAAATCGGAGACTTCTTCAGCACCGCTGGTCAGGTCACTAACGTTCGGTAAGATTTTGCGTTGTTTTATTAATTTAGTTATTTGAAACGGATGAAAATTGGCGTTTTAGACAGTTTTTTGTTTAATCAGTATGCTTTTTTACGGTATAAATGGCTTCTTTGTTACTTTATTTTAAGTAGAAAAAGTTCTTTTAAAGTATCTAGAGCTAATTTTCTTATTTTCAGTCTTGTCTACGACAGAATGACCAACCGCCCAAAGGGATTCGGTTTCTGCGAGTTCGCTGACCAACAGAGCGCTGAGAATGCCGTCAACAACTTGAACTCCCAGGACTTCCAAGGCCGTACTCTTCGCGTGAACTACGCCAACAAGTAATCTATTGGTCTCAGCCGGATGCGCGTTTTTAATCATACTCTCCACAATCTACAGTTATTTGTTTATGTAGCCGTTTTGCTAATCTCTTTGTTCTTTTGCGATTCATAATTATTATTTTACTTACTCTCCAGTGTACAGAATAGTCCTCTAACTTATTGGATTTTGTTTGTTTTGGGCCGAGTTTTTAAATGTATATTGTTTATGGATTAATAAATCAAAACGGATTTTGAATTTTGCTTGGAGTTTTTGAAGTTTAAAGTATGTTTGGTGTCGTTAGAAGAATCTTTATATAACGAATTTTGAAGCAAAATGAGTTGGTGTAATTGGCTTTTGGAAGGACCAAACTTTAACAAAAGTTGAAGAACACCCAAAAGGCTTTAAAAATTATAAAACTTCGCTTCTTCCTCCTCAAAATCAAGCTAAAAACAATATATTAATATTTATCCATCAACCTGAAGAACATAAATTACAATTATTAGGACCGATTATTGACATTCAACCCAATTCGTTTGGCCTTTGATTGGAAGATGATAAGTCGCCACAATTTGAAGACAAAGGCTTCGGCTTCATCATCCAGAATCATGGCGAGATCGCCCAAAAGTCGTTGAGGTTCTCCGTGTTCCGCGATTTTGTCGCATATAAAGTTGACCAGAGTTGGTTCCTCTTCTCCAATGTACTCCTTGATCTTCTTGTCGACCCAGGGTTTGATTTTCTCGTCGACTAGGCTTTGATCCACCATTTCCCAGTCCAATGGGTATGCAAATAGGTCTTCCTTGCCGGTGGGGATGTCGTTGATTAGGTCTTTGGCCATTTGTCGGCGTTCTTCACTTGTTAAGGACTCCATTCTTTCCTGAAAACAAAATTTTGGGTCATTTACTATGAAAAAAATCTTAATTTTCTTTTATTAACCAGCCCAAAACCATCATATCACACCAAGAATCTCCCCTTACCTGATGTGTAATTTCGAATTTCTTGATCTTCTTCTTGATGACGTGAGTATCATCGTCCATATCGTCGTCTCCAAAGACGGATATGGTTTGTGAAATGACTTTTTGTTGGAATTGTGTTACCACCTTTCGTTCGTGTCCGTTCTGAGAACCTGAGGTTTCTGGAGTGTCGACTTTGGTTAGTTTTTTGTCTTCCACAAAGCTATACTTGAAGGTTTCCTCCTCTTCTTCGATCTTCAGCTTGACTTCGGTTTTCTGGAATGATTTTTTATTATTTTATTATAAAAGTGTCATAGATATTAAGGTATTCAAGTGACTTGTGAAAAAACTATACAAAACATAATGACTTCATTATCAATGTTCATTAAGTTTCGTACTAGCGGTTCTATGCAAAGTAGTCCTTTTAAACCCTTTTAGTAAGGGAGAAAACAATTAACTTATTTTACCTCAACCTTCTGTACCACCTCTTCCTTCTTGACTTCTTTGTTCATGTGTTCTCTCATTTCTGTCAACTCTTTGGCTTCTTGTTGTCGATCTTGTTTGTCCAGCTCTTTTTCTCTGTCATACTCTTGTTTCCGTTTGTAAAAGGATGAGCTTCTGAAAAACATGACATTAAATGTTATAAAATCTGAAACATTATCCTCACTTCACTATTTAAAAAGGGACTGAAATTTGCGCTTGGGCTAGACATAGGACCGAGATTAAAGCAAGTACAGGCAAGAGAAACTCCCTTTGACCCAAAAATCGTAGAAACTACTTCGAAACCTAATCTAACCTTTACTTATAACCAAACTGAGTGCTAATACAACTCTTACTTATAATACTTCGGGTCATCCCGCTCGTCATTGTAATCCTCCATGAACTGTGCCAGCTTCTTGGCCTCCTTCTGGATGGTTTTCTGTAGAATCATGTCTTCTTCGTCTTCATGACTATATAGCTTGGCTCTTCGTCGTTCCCTCTCCTCGAATTTCTTCAGCTGTCTTAGGTACTCTTCTTCGCGGCGTTTTTGTTCGCGTCGGCGGAGCTTTCGTTCTTGAACGACGTCTGAATCGTCCGACTCCCCGACTTCCACCGACGATGCCCTTCTCGAACTTTTGGCGGAGCTTTCCGAGCTTGAGCGATGGCGTTTTGAACTGAAATGACATGGTTAACGTACGTTATTTCACACATATTGTTATAGAGCTAGTATTTTTTTAAGTATTTCTTGAATATTTTTCAAATTTCAAAAAATTTTTTCAAAAACCTACCGTTTCTTCTCCCTGCTCTCTGACCTCCTCGATCTTGACTCCTTTTTTCGCTTTTTACGCTCCTAAAATCATATTACAGTACTCATATCAGACAAAAAAAACTTCGAAAAAACCCCCAATAACAAATTTAAAGTTTGAAGCCCCAAAACTTACTGTTACCGTAGGCCTGAATGGATCATTTCTAGACAAAAGTTTAGGCAAATTATCGACTTACCAGATCCAACAGTCGTGTCCAATAAAGACCAAAAATAGACCCCCAAAAACTGTATTAAAGATAACATGACATTAGGTACAACTTACCGCTTTCGGGGTCCGCGACCTCGTTGCTTCTGGCGATTTTTCTTTATCTGAAATTTTAAAATTTAAATTTTTGAAAACTGTTTTAAAACTCATGATTCAAAAAGAATGGCGCGTTTAAAAACTCTTGATGCAAAAAGAATGGCGCTTTTTGAATAGCTTGATGCGAAAAGAACGGCGCGCCTTAAATATTCTTGCTGCAAAAAGAATGGCGCAAGTTTATATACCTGATGCAAAAAGAATGGTGCATTTTAAAATTCTTGATTCGAAAAAAATGGCGTATTTTTGAAACCTTAAAACCACATTTTCAAAATTTTACCCTCTTTCTCCTCTTCCATGACTAGTAAATGAGCATGTGTGTTTCGAATCACTTCTGTTGCCTTATCATGAATATGGTCAATCATTTCTTTATCACACTCTTCTATTTCCAACTCTGTGCCAATTTGTTTCCGAGGTAGATTTTGAAGAGCTCTTTCTCTTCGTACATGATCAAATAAGACTTGGCGGACCTTTTCGTCTGGCTGAAAAAGGAAATATTAAAAAATTAGATAGAGTAGGTCAAGAGCTTCAACACAATACTTGTTTCGCATTTATATCGTTTGGCATAGCTAAGAAAATCAAAGTTAAAAAACCTTACAAACTTTGCGAGTTTATTAAATACCCAACCCAATAGAAATCATTCACAAAACCCACCCTCAAGTTCAACGTTTTGTTGCCAATCCTAAAGTTGTGCATGGCCTTTAAACACAATATTGCACTTTCCGGTGTTTTATAACCAACAAATCCGAATGCTGGTAAACGTCCATCTGGCCCAACCAAGCGTTGCCACTTCTCCACCGGACCACAACAATCAAAGACGGCGTGTAGGAGATCATTCGGCACTCGTTCATCAATGTTACCCACAAACAAAAGGTTCTCTTCTGGTAACTAAAAGGGAAAAAGTTATAAAGAATGTTAATCTAGTTTTTAGATGCTTAAAATTTTAAAAACAGTGTTTTAGACTTGTAGTAATAAATTATTTTAGCTCAAACAATATGCAATTTTCGTCTAAAAACATTGTTTTAGATATTAACATCAACGTCTTCCATAAATCAGCTAGTAAAACGTCTACCTAAAAATAGAAAACGCTAATAAATGCTTACTTGACATGCATTAGGAGGAGGTTGTCTCATGGGTGGCCTCTGGCGAAAATTCGGTCGAAACTGAACATAACTTGGCATCTGAGGCGGTGGAGGACCTAAAACAACAAGATCAGCATAATAATCTAACAAAAAACACAAAGAATATAACATAAAACTATTATAGCTTTACAATATTTTGTCTATTATACTTATGTCGTAAATTTTCAGTTTTATCCGCCAACAACAAAAACTATATAAAAATCTAAATAATACTGGCCTAAAATTTTAAAACATAGAAATAACAAAAATTTGCATAAATAAATCTATTCAATTAACAAAAGATTAAAAATAAAACAGATTGAGCTACTTACCACCGTTCGGAGGAAAACCAATACGAAAAGGCATCACCATCCTGTATTGACCCAAACAAGAAGTGTAACACCTAAAACAACGTAGAAATTTAAAATGAAAAATACAGCTTTTATGTAAAAGAAGAAAGTTAGCGTTAGAAGTCTTAACACGGCTTCGAAAATCGACAAAAAAATCCGAAACTATATTTATCCATTCGATTGTGACACTTCGTCTTCTTATTTCGTCAGTTAATTAACTGCAGTTTCGTTAAGAATAATCGATATTTGACACTTTGTTCAGGCGAATTTCTTTATTTTTTCGCTGTTTCTGAAGGTTTTCTTTAAAGCTGCAGATAATTGTATATTCTCTACTTCTTTTTTATGGCATTGAACGGATTTTGCTCGAAATCTGAGGAAGATTTTGAATCTATTTGTTTGAACATGGTTAATATGAACAATATTGATGTTTCTTCCGAAGATTTACAAAAGTTGGAGATTTTGAATGGAAGAACGACTTTTGTTGGAGGACAAGAACAAGTTGAAGAAGCTCTACAAATTCTTTCTTCGGATTTGTACTACTTAGTCAAAGGTTGTAATGTGATCAAGTTGGAAGATGTTCAACCGGACGATTGCGTATCGATTTGTTATCGTTTGCTCGGAGGAAAAGGTGGTTTTGGATCGTTGTTGAAAAGTTTTCGTATTCATCGGAGTTCGAACCAGTTGATGATGAGGAATTTGGAAGGACGAAGAGTTCACGATGTTAAGGAAGAACAGAGATTGAAAAAGTGGGTGGAACGGAAAGCTGAGAGGGAAAAGGAGAAGAAGAGAAAGAGGTAAGTGTTGCTTTTGTATTGGTTTTGGATTTTTAGGTAGATCGGAAGCTGTTGAAGACTTTAACATAATAATATAGTCAAGCTTGTGGTCAAAACAGATTATAATATTTATTTTTAGAGAAGAAAAGTATCAACGTCTGAAAAATGGTGGACCGAAGCATAAGTTTGAAGATCAAGATTATTTGAGGCAAAGAGAAGTTCTAATTGATAATACTGAAGATTCTATCGAAGCTGGTAAGTTTTTGTTTTGAAAATTAAGTTTTAGATTTGAAGATTAACTACAACCTTGTAGTAGACTTAAAACAATAAGTTTCTTAACCTTTTATCTACGGATTCATAACGAAAATGTTTTTTTAGGTATAAAAGCGGTTGAAGAAGCTGAACCAGTCGAAAAACATCATGAAGAGCCAGAAGATTCGGATTCCTCGGACGATGAAGCATTTATGAATGGATTTATATCAGTAGCGTCTAAGAAGCGAAAGTTATCTCCACCAGATGTTAATGGTAACAAAAAGAGTAAAATTGAGAAAGAAAATGAACCTGAAGATCAACCAGGGCCGTCGGGATTTAAAGTTCCGAATTTTTTAAAAAAAGCTGCTGGAACTTCTAAATCAGATGCAAAGAAAGGAAAAGAAGTTAAGGATGATAGTAAGAAGCAACAAGATACTCAAAAGGAGGATAAGAAAGAGGTTGAAAAGCCTAAAGAACCAGAAAGTTTTGATTCAATCAACTTGGAGAATTTTGAAACCGCTGAAAAGTTGGAAAAACTTGGCATGGGACATTTGAAACATGCTTTGGAAGGTAAGTTTAATTACAAAGGAGCTTATATATTGTTTTAATTTAGTTTATATTAGCGCTCGGTTGTCTTCTGTTTTTTTTATTTTTAACTTTGATATGATTTCCTTTATTTTCTGATTGAAAAAGGGAAAAACGGTATTCTTTGTTTTGTAAATATAATTTTTTTTGAAAAAATGTGTTTTTTTGATGTCAAACATGTTATGTTTGATTTTTTGAATATTACAATTATTAGCTTCAAGGTTTTTAGTATTAAAATAATCAAAAATGTTTCAGAAAGAGGCTTGAAATGTGGTGGAACAGCGTCAGAACGAGCTCAAAGATTGTTTTCAGTCAAAGGATTGGATCCAAAAGACTACCCGAAGAAGATAAGGGCACAGAAGAAGTGATGAACGGATTAAAAGACTATATTATTATACTTTCTCTATATTTAATTCTTCTGTAGTATATGCTTCTCTTATAGTGTCTTAGTACTGAAAGTTATTTGATATAACCATACTTTGGAGATATAGACATTAATATGACTATGCTTTGGGGTTATAGTCATATTTAATGTATTTGAAGAAAAATAATCTTTTGCTGGTCAATGTTTGTGAAAAGGAGTAGTTATTGTACATTATAATGGTTTTGTTTTGATTATAATTAACTGAACTTGATGTAAATAAATGATAATCTTAATTTGCTCGGCTTGGATCGATTTTGGGTATTAGTTTTTGAACTAATAATTATATTTTTGATGCTCTTGGACTTGAATTAATATTTTTTTATGTTGTTTTTGATTTTCTTGGTTTTAAAGTGTTAATATAGTGGCGCTGTTCGTCTTTGATGATTGAAAAATTGTTTATTTAGCTATACTTTAGGTCAAAGATGGTGGTGACACGAAGATCACAGAAAAAGGTCGCGTCTCCGGCCAAGAAGTTGGCTACGCCAACAAAAGTTGACATCGTGGAAAAGAAAAAGCCAAAGAAGGTGGAAAAAGTTAAAAAGGTGTTGAAGAAGAGGAAAGGGCTGATTTTGACGAGGGAAAAACAAGAAGTCGATCATAAGAAGTACAAAGCTGTCAATGGTTATTACGTTCTACGAAAATATGACTCTGAGAAGGCGAAGAAGGAAATATTGAGTCAGGTAGCTGTTTTTTCTATTTTTATGAATTTTAGGTAACAAATTCAATGAAGATTTTAGGTAAAAAATTTGTTTTTAAGGCTAAGAATGAGGATTTTAGCTTTTTAAAACCAAAAATGAAGAGTTTAGGTAATAAATCCATTTTTAAGGCTTAGAATGGGAATTTTAGGTATCTTCTTTGGTTTTATAGTGCAATATTGTTGTGAAACAAGATTTTTAGGTAACAATTTTTAAAAATTTCAAATTTTGTTTTTCCAGGCTGGTGTAGCATTAGAAGCCATGGCCAAGCACACCAAGAAGAACAGCAAGACAGATTTGTTCGGGGAATCCAAAGACTCAATTGCAATCAAATTCCACTTGAAAAAGCCAAGAGTTACTGGCGTTAGGAGGTTTAAGATCATGTAAGTTAACTTTTTGGTATCATACGTTCATTTTTTATTGAAGGATGGGTTAAAAACTGTTTTTTTAAAATTAAAACTTGATTGAAATGACATTTTAAGAGCTAAAATGAGGTTTTTTTTAGCGAAAATAAGTTTAAAATTACAAATTTGAGATAAGTAATGATGGGAATGGCTAAAGTATATAAAAAACTCAGCTTGAACAATATAACTTTCCAGTCAGCTCCCCCACTCCGACAGGGAACCAGGAAACTCAACCTTGTGCCTAATCCTGGGCGATCAGAATGCCAAACAATTGAGGGACAAAAAGAATTGGGACACTGATGTGGACAAGAACGCTCGAAAATGGAAGGACACGTTGAGGGAGAAGCATGGAATCACATCAGACGAAGTGGACAAGATCTACACTTATACTCAATTCTTAAGAGAGTATTCGACCAAGGAGTCGGTCAAAGCCTTCCTCAAGTCATATGACAGAGTTGTAATTCAAAACAATCTGTTCAAGGTGTTGGTCCGACACTTTGGAGCGTCTTGTTGGAATGTTAGCAAGTGAGTTGCTAATCTAAAAAAAACCACTATTAGGCCATTTAGTTAGTTCTGTACTTCTTCTGAAAGCAACTTTATGGGGCACATAATTATTTGAACAACCTAATATTTTCGGTGGATTTAAGGGATGTGAGGGATAAAATGGCAAAGTTTTGGGGAAAAGGTTCCGATGAAGGACAATTTTGTATAGTTTTGTGGTACTTTTATGACGTTTTTGGTAATTCTGCAAAACATTTTTAATGAAAATTTTATAGATTTCTCTTTTTCAGATTCCCCCTGCCAATCAACCCTAGATCAGAGCGCCTGAAGGAAAAACTCCTCAAGACCTACAGCCAAGAAGCCCTGGTTCTACCAGTCCATGTTCAAGTTCATTCGGTTCGAATTGGCAACATTCATCAACCCCAAAAACATCTCGTCGCCAACATCAAAGAAGTCCTCGAAGCTGCCACAAAATGCTTGCCCGGAGGGTTTTTGAACGTGAGAACGGCGTCCTTATGCTTCCTGTCGAATGCGCAGGAACTGCCAATCTATGTTGACTTTGGGTCGGCGAACGAGCTGATCGAGAAGGTGGTGAAGAAGGTGGACGAAGTAATCGAAGATGAATGCACTACTTTGCCCGAAGGATTGAAGGTGAAGATGCATATGGATGGAAAAGTGGATGTTGTTGATGAAGAGTCGGGAGAAGCGGTGTTCTACCCGACAGTCGAGGATGAATGGGAAAAGCACGACGATCCGGATCTGAAGCCGAGAGCTACGAGAGAAAGCTTGATCAGAAGAGAGGTTTTCAAACGAAAGGTGAGGAGCGGGGTTTGTGATATTAGTGTTTTGTAACTCCGAACATTTGCTCTGAGAGGGGGCGCAGAATTAGCTGATCAACCTAATACAATCTGCTATGTCAAATATCTTACAAATCGTTAGATATAGCTGTTATAAGCCTTTAATATTCACCTTTACTATACATGACTTACATTTTTTAATTTCAGAGCGCCGAAAAGAAGAAAGCGGCCAAGAAAGCGAAGCTGGAAGCAAAGAAAGAAGAATAAGATGCACCCTTGTTGACTTCAATTTACTGTTAAGTTTTGTTACATTTGAGTTATGGTTCTCTTACTGAAATACTTGTTATTTGTTAAAAATAAAGTTTTGGTAAAATACGGCCATTTCTGTACTGACATGAGGTCTTTTTTTGAATTTTAAAGAGTTTAAACTTGGATTTCAATGTAAGAACTTTTGAAGCTTAGAATTTAAGAACAGCGTTTTAAAGTGGCATGTAGACCTACCGGAATACCGAGAAAATGATGAACAAACACGGCTTTATTTGGTCACTTTTTCACCGCAAACTCCATTAAAACGTCGGTGTTATGAAGGAGGAATAGGCCCTCCCGCGACGCTCGATCCGCCTGATTAATTCTTGAGGGATGCTCGTAGTGCTACCTGGTGTAACCTTAGTATTACAAAACGTATACAAGCTTATCTGTAGATGTGGGGATGGTCTTACATTTTTTGTTTTTGATTTGTTTTATCTTTACTTTGGGGGTTGTTTAGGCTTACATGAGCTAGACTTTTTCTCTAGAGTACGTTTTACTACTCTAACCAACCATATACTACCGTACCCGACTCTGTTTTGTCCTGTCCTACTCAACCCTACGCTACCCTACTTTATCCTACCATACCTTACACTATTCTACTTTACACTACTGTTCCTGATCTTACCATAATCAATTCTATTATACCATACCCTACCTTACCCTACTCTGTCTTACTCTATAGCTCCCGCGACATTACTACCATGGTCCCTGGTGAGTTCGAGCCTAAAAATGACTGAATTTGACTCAGATTGGCAATGTTTTGGTTTGAATTTTGTTTTGATTCGGTATGTCACTCACATAACGACCAAAATGGCCAGGTTTATCTGATTCAACCTGTCCTTTTTCTTGTTTAAAATTTGATTTTTTCGAATTTTTAAGAGTAGGGGTAGAGGTAAAGCTAACAAAACATTAACGTAGGGTAGAGAAGGATACAGTAATTTAGGGTAAGTTAAGGAAAAGTACGGTAATTTAAAGTAAAGCTAAGAAAAAGGTAAGACATGTGTTGGCTAGGGTAGAGGAAAGTAGGGTACGGCAAGGCAGAGCAGGGTAGGACAGGAAAAGGCAAGGCAAGGCGAGGTAAGGGAAGGGAAGGGAAGGGAAGGGAAGGCAAGGCAAGGCAAGGCAAGGCAAGGCAAGGCAAGGCAAGGCAAGGCAAGGCAAGGCAAGGCAAGGCAAGGCAAGGCAAGGCAAGGCAAGGCAAGGCAAGGCAAGGCAAGGCAAGGCAAGGCAAGGCATGGCATGGCATGGCATGGCAAAGCAAGGCAAGGTGTGGTAAAGTAGCCTTTAGGCAGGGCACGCACGTGATAAACCAAAGCTAGAGTAAAGGCTAAACATTTATTTTGAAAACCAAAACCATTCCACGTCAAACTTTATCAATCACCCTGCTGCCGGTGTAATATCTCACGTAAGATAGGCAAATTTTGGGTGACAAATGACTAAAACAAACGTTGGGACACTCATAAAAAAGACTTGAGCCGATTTATTGGCCATTTCTAATTAATTAACGTCGAGAGTCGCGATTTCTGATCTTGTACTTGGCGACAATTAATGGCCGAATCAAGAAATGGCAGGCCAAACTGGTTGAAACAAGTTGAATATTATTTTAGATGACATAACAAATTTTAATTCTAGGAGAGGATACAGACTGGGTAGGGTAATGTAATAGAGGTAAAATTAGTTTTAAATTACGGGTTCGATCTAGAACTAGGACTAGGAATAGGTCTACGGCTAGGGCTAGGGTTCAACTCGAACATGCGTAAGTTAGGGTAGGGGTGGCAGTTGGACCGGTCCGGTAAACCAAGGCTTGGACTGGGTTTGCAAAATTTGCTGACTAGACTGAATGGTTATGGATATGTCACGGAATTCGACCGGCTCGGATCAATGCAACTAGGACTTCCAGCGGGAAGAAGGGGGGGGTGAGTTTAATTAAAAGGCAGTAAGGGGGTACTTTAACTTGGGTAGGGTAGGGTAGAGTAGAATAGAGTAGGGTAGGGTAGGGTAGGGTAGGGTAAAGTAGAATAGAGTAGGGTAGGGTAGGGTAGGGTAGAGTAGGGTAGGGTAGGGTAGGGTAGGGTAGGGTAGGGTAGGGTAGGGTAGGGTAGGGTAGGGTAGAGTAGAATAGAGTAGGGTAGGGTAGGGTAGGGTAGGGTAGGGTAGGGTAGGGTAGGGTAGGGTAGGGTAGGGTAGGGTAGGGTAGGGTAGGGTAGGGTAGAGTATGGTAGGGTACTGTATGACAGATTCTATAACTTTCCAACTTTTAAAAGTTTTAAAAAAAATAAAAAATATTTTTAAGATTTCAACCGTACAGTCCAACGCTATCGTACAGTAGAAGGCCTCGACGATTTGTTGACATTTCTAGTTTGGCTTTGGCCAGACGCCTTTCGGTCGCTTCTCGATTAATCATCTTTTCGGACAGTGATCCGAACAAAAATCGCCATTCATTATTTGATACGACGACAAATTCGAGAGAATTTTTTTATTCAATCACTTTTGGGTTTTCGATTGAGGTTTTAAGGTGGTTGGGTCGAAGTTGGGGTAAGAGGCGAGGGAGGTTGAAATGGAGTAAGGGGTGAGGGAGGATGAAAAAGTTTACAATTTTTAGAGGGGTGGGGCGAGGGAGGAATGGAGTGAGAAAGCGGGGGGGGAGGAAAGTTAACTATTTTACGGTGGTTATGCCGGAAGAGTAGAGTTGAGCATTTTTTGTATAACGGGCTTTTGCGGTCTATGCGCGCAACACAACACAGTCTCTCGCTCTCTCTCTTCGTTTTTTATGTCTTTTTCGTCTGACAGTCTCTCTTGCGCTTTTTATTGATTCCTTTTCTATTTTTTTATCGGGCCCGAAAAGAACAAAATCGGGCCCCTTTCGCTGTCTGCTCACGCGGCGAGAAGAAGAGACCTCAAACGAAAAGCGCAAGAGAGCAGCAGGCGCTGAAGAACTAGAGAGAGCGAAAGAGTACTCTGGTAAAAAGAGACCGCGCGAATAGAGAAGTTCGGTGTTTTAAGGATGCATGAAGGTAATGTTTTTTTAAGTTGTTAAAGTGAAGAGGATAAAAATGCATAAAGGCTTTAAGCTAGGGCTAAGCGTAGGGCTAGGTCTAAAAGAGAGATAGAAAAATTCAAGGTAATAACTAAAAATTAGGGTAAAATACGGCTGCTTTCAACATTCGGAAAAAATCTTTACTTTTTAAACACCATAATATTTTTAATATAAATTTTAAAAATATGAAATTTACTGCTTAAAAGCTTTACAATCTTTACTTTTATCATATCAAGTTTGATGGTTCTAGCTTTTCTAATAGTTAAGTCATTGAGAAATTACTTGAGCGTGTCATAATTTTTAAAAGTTTTTTTGACTTTGGCTAATGGAAGGCACTTTTTATAACAATTTTGTAAAATACGGCAAATTTAAAATCAAAAAAATATTTTTTATGCATTTTATAGCTTAAACAGATCACGAAACCATAATTTTAAAGAACGATATCATAAACGGCGAGTCGTGGTTCCATGGTGTAGCGGTTAGCACTCAGGACTCTGAATCCTGCGACCCGAGTTCGAATCTCGGTGGGACCTAAAGCTTATTTTTTGATTTTTCAAAAGTTTTATGTAAAATACGAGTTTTCTAATCATTTGTTGACTTTTTTATGGTAGTCTAGGGTAGAATCTGGCTTTACTATTCTTTTTTTACCTACTTTAAAACTTTTTTTTTTCAATTTTTAAATTTTGAAACATTTTTTCGAGTTTTTGAAGATTGTTTACCTTGATTCATAAACGTTTTTCTCACACAATGGAAATGTCACAATCACTTCCAAATCAATCATCTCGCCTCCATGTGGCCTGAAAGAAACGTTTGGGACATTATAGTAGGGGGACATCTGCAGTATATATTGGTGTTATGTGGTTTCATATGTCGTTGATACGTTTCTGAGGTGTTTTTCCGAGTTTATAGTGTTTTTACTACGTAGGTATTGGTATTTTGAGGCTTAGATTATTAAGGTTTACAAGTTTTTATTAGTGCAATATAGTCAATGGAAGGGTTCATAGGGTAGGATGTTAAGGTAAGCAAATGCTGGCTCGGAAAACTAAGGTTAGGGTTAAAGCTATTTGGGTTGGACTGGGCTAAGGTGAGCTGGGCTGGGTTAAGACTAAGGTTAAGGCGCGGGCTAGGGCTCTGGGCTAGGGCTCTGGGCTAGGGCTCTGGGCTAGGGCTCTGGGCTAGGGCTCTGGGCTAGGGCTCTGGGCTAGGGCTCTGGGCTAGGGCTCTGGGCTAGGGCTCTGGGCTAGGGCTCCGGGCTCAAGCTTTCTTAGTTGAACCGGGCTAGGGTAGACATGGGGAACAGGCCGGGCCGGCATTTACCCTAATTTAGGTCGGACCGAGCTGAAAATTAACGCTTAGCCCGGCTCGAAAAGTCCGGCCCGTTTGCAGGAAAAAAAATTCGGGCCGGGCCGAGCGTGAGAAAAATTTAGATTGAGCCGGGCTTAACACTCAGGACCGGCTCGGCCCGTTCCTCATGTTTGAGCTAGGGTGAGCTGGACTAGGTTAACACTAAGGTTAAATCGCGGGCTAGCGGTTAAAGCTACAGCTTTGGGCTAGGGCTGGGGATGAGGTTAGAGCTAAGGCTAAGACTAGGGTTTGGTCAAAGGCTTTAGTACTCATGTTTTTATAAAGAAAAGCTAAATGATTGGCATTTTTCCTGGTTGTTATCACTGATTTTCTCATTTTTTTTTGGTTTTTTGGTTCTTCAAGATCACAATGGATTGAGTGATTAACGTGCAAAAAGTTAGATTGCCTGAGGGACTTAAGACACCTATTTTTTACAAAAATCTCAAAATTTTTAAAAAAAATTTTTTATCGCAAAAAAATTTTTTTGTCAACTTTTAAAAAATGTCGCCTCGGGCTCATTTCACTGCCATTTTAAAATAAACCCTTATTTTTCAAATTTTTTTCTGTAACATGACAA